ATCCGAAGCAGAAGCCTGCCCCTGCCCACGACCCGAAGAACTGGATCTGGCGTGGGCTGCAAGCTCATCCTCATCCAACTCTGGATAACTGGCCTGCCAGAACCGCATAAATACTCAATCTTGAACAACTTGCAAAGGGGCACAAATGCAACCAAGCCCTGGAATAAGCCCCATGTGCCTTGTTTCCAAAGTTGGCGACGATGCGACGGTAGTTTTCATCCTGGGATTGCAGGCAATGGAGGGCTTGAGAGATTCAAAAGGTTTGAGAACCTTGCTAATCAATGCTGAGATTCTCTGGCTTTCCGGCCCGACATAAACTGCTTCTTGACCATCGAAAGGAGGCTCTTCAAGTATTTTGCATCCACACGACAGCTTGCTTGAATAGCAGGCGACAGCTTGAACTCATCAGGAAGCTTCGGGCACCGACCCACTGCATTAGCCGATTTCCTGTGCTTAGCCTCAAAGTACTTGAACCAAGTCGATGAAATCTCTTCTTCCAAAGTGTCGAGATCCGGAATCTTCAAACTCCTAGCAGCCTTCATTTGAATAATGATCGGGATTAAGAAGGAATCATTCAGAATCGCCGTGGACTGGATTGCCGCCGGCACTTTCTCACCCTCGGGTGCACGGATCAAACCCTTATGACCCTCGTCAAGCAGCCGGTCCTTGATCTCCAAATTTCTGCTCCAGCCCAGAGAAAGGCCAGAGATATTCACATCATGAACCTCCCGATCCTCACCCATGGCTACTATCACTACCCCTTCACTGAAGAAAGCTGCAAACAGCACAGGCCCACATTCAATTCTGCAACGGTGACCTGCTCATGATGCTCTAGCATGGCAGACAAAGCCGCAAAGCTCGCAAGGTGGGTGGTCGCACCTGTATTTTGGCTTCGGAGCCATCGAGGGGCCATTGGCGAAATCGTGACATGTTCAACTGCATGCTTGTTAGAATGCCTGCTTGGTGCGGCAATAAGTTGTCGATGCTCCTTCTGCCAACGATGATGTCATGATCACTGAATTGAAAGCATGCCGACATGTTTTAACCATCGGGCCGGCCTGCGTGGACATATGGGCTTGCGAATGGACCTCGGATTTAGGGTCTGGGTTTATGGCGGGGTACGACACAAGTGATTATAAAGTACCTCTGGGGTCGTCTTGGGGAGTACAGAAGGTATATACTTAAGTAGCATACACAAGTGTTCGAAAAGCCTATTTCGAAAATCCGGCCGCTTAAACTATATCCGGATAACCTATTTAAAAACCGAAATACGGCTCAATTACGGCGAAATCCAGATTTACGCATAAGGACACAAAAAAGTAGCCGCTAGCACTCACAGGTATACATTACGTTATAGAACAGGTTCTGTAAGATAATCTTTACGTTAATGTTGATGCCTTGTACAATCCCTTATACAATGCGTTATGGAGTACCCGATAGAGAGCCCAAAACAACGTTACATACTTGGCCTTTTATAGGCCTTGTACAATATCATCTGCAATCCCCTACCGACTAGCTTACAGAATACACAATATCTATGATACCCTTTGAGTACCCCATAGGAAGTCCTAAAGAAAACCTGACGGATATTCTATAACATACCCGTAGACTGCACCATAGAATGCCTTGTAGAATACTTTATAGATAACGGATTAATGGCAGGATAATCAGGAGCAGAATGCTCTGCGCTGTACCTGCTATGTGCCCAATGAAGAAATCAAAAACAAGAGCATATAGAACACCTTACACAATACTCCTTCTTTACATCTTAAAAATTTCATATAGATACCCATAGACTATAGAAACCTTTTATACCTTTATGAATCCTGTTGAATACCCGTTGGTTTTTCACCAATATTCACAGACCAAAAAATGAACGCTCTCCATCATTTTGAAAAAACGCTCACCAACACGCAGCACTCGAGATCCTGAAACCCCGCCCACTTGGGACGAAGCGGGATTGCAGTCAAGCGGCCCTGATTCAACTCAATCGGCCCCGATTGAACTCAATCGGGGGCCGGATTGAAGATTGAAGATTCCCCGGCAAAGTTTTCGAGGGAATCTTCAATCTTCAATCCGGCGCCCGATTCAATTCAATCGGCCCCGATTGAACTCAATCGGGGGCCGGATTGAAGATTGAAGATTCCCGGCAAAGTTTTCGAGGGAATCTTCAATCTTCAATCCGGCGCGCGATTCAACTCAATCGGCCCCGATTGAACTCAATCGGGAGGGGCGGATTGGGTTCAATCGGCCAGATTGAACTCAGTCGGGCCAGGGTGGAGTTCACCCAACCACAAAACGGTCCATCGGGTAGGCCCTCCCCTCAAGGATCTTCCATTTTCGTGTGATGTGGCTGTCAAACACACGAAAAAGGTAGATCCATGGGGGGGGGATACCATATATATATATATATATATATATGGTCTCCCCCCCCAAGATCCACACCCGCCTCTTCCACACAATTCCACAGGCTGTTTCTCTACATTGGTCGACAACTCATATATACCGAAAACACCGTAAACATCGATACAATCGTGCTTTACCTCATGTGCATGCAAACCGTGCTGCTGCAAAGAGCGGGTTTGATATGTGTAAAAATCTGGCGCCGAATCTCGGCCGCGGATTTATGGTAGTTAATGTTTTGGAGAAGCTGAAATGCTGGAGGGCGTGCTAGTTTTGTTCATGTAATACTAAAAACCTCGTGTTTTTTTGCATTTTATGGTGTGTTGTCTCTCTTACGAGGACGTCTGCGTGCGTGGGCCATCTCTTTCCCGCTGCTCGTGAAGCGTCCGATTCTGATGCGGCTTAATCGCTCTAGAATTTGATTTATGAGTTACCAATTGCAAAGAGCTCTTTTCATGTCCTGTCTATTATACATGAAGGAAGTCGAATGTACGGGCGCGTTTATTTTTGAAGCAATACTCCAATAGTTGTTTTTGGCCCCATAAGACATAGGAAAACTCCCCTGGAGTTGAAAAGTTCATGTGCATATGCAGGCGCACAAGAAGGCTCGTCTGCAGCAAGAAGTAAGAGAGCTCTTGCAACCTTTCAAACATGAAGCAGGGCTAATTACGACTCTTCTCCGGGGTATAGGACAGCATCAGTAATAAGAGTCAACTGAATGAAAACTCATGTATCGTAGGAAACCGAAGAGGAAGTCTCCATTGTTTCTGCAAAATGCAAACAGTTTCCTACAGTCTTCAATATGAAATGAAAAAAGGTCTAGATAGGCTTGCGATTATTACAGTGTTGGATTTGTAGGCGGTGCAGCTCGCCGAAAAAGGGCCAAAACCATTGTCGAGAAAGCTCAGGTACCAGAGCCAGTGCCGCTGCCGCCATGGATCTACCAACCTCCGAAAACATATATGAAATAAAACTATGTGACGACTAGGCTGGTTTTGTTCATACTTATCAAACCAGAGTAATGAAAATACTTCCCAGTCCCTGACAACGGTTGAAAGCACACAATTATCTTGTGATACAGTATATCAGTATATCCTGTCTTGGACATCAGAAAACACTGTAATTCTCAAAAAAATCCAAAATTTGCAACCCTAAAACCCACGGAACACTGTAATGCTCAAAAAATTCCAAAATTCTGGCATCTATGGCCAGGCCTGGTGCAAATTCCTTCAGTTTTTTTTTTCAGCATAGCAGTGTTTCGTGCGTTTCAAGGCTTGGAAAAGTTGATTTTTTTGAGCAGTACAGTGTTTTGTGAGTTTTAAACCACGAAACACTGCTATGCTCAAAAAAGTGAGCTTTGAGGCTGTGAAAAGTGTATTTTTTTGGATCATTACAGTGTTTTGTGAGTTTTAGACCACGAAACACTGCTATGCTAAAAAAAATGAGCTTTGGGGCTGGGAAAAGTTGATTTTTTTGGAGCATTACAGTGTTTTGTGAGTTTTTAAACCACGAAACGCTGCTATGCTCAACAACAGTGAGCATTGAGTCTGTGCAAAGTGGATTTTTGTTTGAGCATTACAGTGTTTTGTGAGGTTCAGGCTACGAAACACTGTAATGCACAAAAAAATCCAAAATCTCCAACCTGAAACTCACGAAACACTGTAATGCTCGAAAAATTCCGAAAACTCCAAAATCCGGGCATCTATGGCCAGGCCGGGAGCAAATTCCTTACTAGTTTGGAAACTTTTGAGCATAGCAGTGCTTCGTGCGTTTCAAAGCTTGGAAAAGTTGATTTTCTTTGAGCATTAGAGCATTGCAGTGTTTCGTGGTGTAAAACTCACAAAACATTGTAATGCTCAAAAAGATCCACTTTTCACAGCCTCAAAGCTCACTTTTTTAAGCATAGCAGTGTTTCGTGGTCTAAAATTCACCAAACACTGTAATGTTCAAATAGAATCAACTTTTCCAAGCCTTGAAACGCAACAAACACGGCCATGCTCAAAAAATCAAAACTTTTAAGGAATTTGCCCCCGCCCTGGCCATAGATGCCAGAATTTTGGATTTTTTTGAGCATTACAGTGTTTCGTGAATTTCAGGGTTGGAAAATTTGGTTTTTTTTGAGCATGGCAGTGTTTCGTGGTTTAAAACTCACAAAAAACTGTAATGCTCAAAAAAATCAATTTTTTCATTGCTTCAAAACTCACGAAACACGGCTATGCTCAAAAAAATCCAAAGTCTTAAGGAATTTGCCCCCTGTTTGGCCATAGATGCCAGAATTTTGGATTTTTTGGAATTTTTTGAACTTTACCAGTGTTTCGTGAGTTTCAGGGTTGGAAATTTTGGTTTTTTTGAGCATTACAGTGTTTCGTGCGCCCCATGCCCCAAGAACCACGATGGCGTAGATCTTGCGGGGGGGCGAGCATATGTATATATATATATATATATATATATACTCTCTCTCTCTCTCTCTCTCTCTGGAGCCTTAGATTCAGGCAAGCAGTTATATAAGGCCAAAGTGTGTCTAGCTACATTGGACCTTCAGAAAAGCTCTCAACATGGCGAAAGCGCATGTCTCCAAAGCTTGTAGCTACACGCAGGGTGGAGGTCGTGGAGATTCTCTGGCGTTCCCTGAGCTGCAAGTCATACAGCGGCTTTGTGTTCTTGGGTTCAATGTTGCTTCTGGGGGTTTGGTCGTGAAAGCTGAAAATCCACATGTTCCAGCTGTATGTGTGGAGGCTGCCTCAGGAACCCTGTGTAAAAAGTTTGAGGCCTTTTGCGCTTGAGCTTGGGTCATTCGAGGCTTGCGGAAACCGAAACACACGTCAATCTGCAGCAAGAGAACCCTGTAAATCCCTGAACCTTGACGATTACTCCTACTTGCCCGTTTCTTTGCGGATGAGATTGTGTGGAGCCTTGCCTGCATGGCGCGAGTGTGAGCATCGAAACCGATTCTATCAGCCGGAATGTAAAATCATCAAAGCCTAGGCTTCTAAGGACTCATATATTAAGGCTTTTGGGCTTGGGCCCAAAGACCATGTTATACAAGGCTTCTGGGCTATTTTGATGCCCAAAGAAGTTACGGTACAACTCATCGGAAAGATCTCCTGCGAAACCGTTGGATTCAGCAGGGACGAGGGGCAGGATGCTTGCATGTGATTCTCATCATCGGATCATGTCATGACCTTCGTTTCCTTCTGCCGTATATCTGACGTTGTGGGAGGGGGAAACCCGGAATCCGAAAACGCCCTACTCAATGCCCGAAACCCCGTCAACCCTGAGCCCATATTCCTCAACCCTACCCTAACACCCAACCCTGAACCTTTGAAGCCTTAACAACTTTCAACCCTGAGCCCCAGAGCTTCAACCTGAAAACCTTCCAACAGTCCCAGCAGTAGTTCCTTTTCGGTTACTCCATCTTCAACTATAAACTCCTAGCTGGTTAAAGATAGATAAAACAGAAACTACACTTCAGACTATAGGCAAAGCTTAAACCCTAACGCCGTACCCCGTAAATTTAAACCCTTCGGACCCTCAAAAAGATCTCCAGAACCTTAAGGCCTTAACCAGCTCTAAGCCCTAAACTAACCATAACCCAGCAGCAGTTTGCTTCCTAAGACCAAAATCAGCTGCCCAGGAATCTTCTACGAGAACGGGGGGCTCCAGGCTGCTTGGGCAGGAAAGCCTTCGCTTGGGTTTTGCTTGACAGGTCTGGGTTTATGGTTTCGCGTCGTCAGGCTTTAGGGGTGCTGGGTTTGGGGTCTCTACCGGTACTTGTAGTGACTTAATTTGTGGGTTTAGAGCCTGTAGCCTCCATTTCAGTTTTTTTCTGGCTAAGCCAGATTGGGAGTTGAGGTACTTGCGATACCTCAATTAACGGGGAAACCCAGGAACCACAACGGAGATCACAGGCAACTCTGCTCTATCCTTTTTCTTCTCCTCGACGGAAAATTTCGAGTAAAACACTATGCTTGCTAGGGTCCCAGGTTAGCTGAGGTGGTCGAGCCACTGTAAAGCCAAACGTGGCCCGATGTTTGCCGAAAAGGCTTTCGTGGTCAATCAACTGGTTGCACTCTGCATAACAGTGCACGAGGAGTGGACGGTTCTGGTACAGAAAGCATGCTGTTCAGATGTGCGTCAAGAGTCATAAGCATGACGGCAAAATTCTTGCTCGGGTGCCATCCATCAGCAGGGCTGGCAAAGCATATGGGTGAGTAAGGAGAACTGACTGCATTAACCTTGCCTCATTTAGCTCAGAATTGGATGAAACCTGGCACACCCATGCAAACCCAATGTCAATAAAAGTTAGTTCGTCGTCCAGCTGTGCTGTTAGAGAGAGGCTCAACTACAAGCAGCACCTGGCCAATCTGCGACATAAACCCGGAGTGCTGCCAAGGCTCTCTATGGAAATGTTCAACATCGGCCGGACGGATGGGAGGAGCTGGCAAGCAACCCAGTCACCTCTCGTTTGCTCATGGTTTCTGGTGTAAGCTCGGAATCCTACAACAAGTGCCTGCCCTGTCTGATCTGCTGGGCCTTTGCGGATACAGTCAGCGATGCACCACATCCAGGGCTGCATGCGAGTGTGGATTGTCATGTCATAACATGTTGCTCGGACTTGGCCCGCTCTTTGCCCACTCTAGCGAAGCATTCAAGGAAAGCAGTGGCACCAATCCCGCAAATCACAGAAATCTGAATACATGCTCCCTGGGACAAACCATTCTAGCTTGCTAGAACCCCAATTTAGCGAATCTCGTGGCGAAGGTCCCTGTGGACCGACTCTTCTACACGCACGCGAACATCAGTCCAATGTGCCTTGTCTTGGGGTCAGGTTTCTGTCATTCGTAGCAGTTTTTAAAGCTGAAGTTTACCCATGTCAACCATATTTTGACCACAAGCCGGCTCTTGGCTACTCGTAAGAGTGGCAAGGCTGGGTGTCTCCTGGGAACTGCAGTTGCATGTGCCGGGCCCTTGACGATCATCCAAATTCGGGCCCTGACAGACACGTTGCCCGCTGTTTGTTAGCACTTTGGACTGGGTATTCGGGTTCAGCACTGTCGGACCACTCGGGCTCAACATTGAGGATGCAGGCCGAACTAGGGGTCAACGCTACATGGTATTCTTCATTGGCAAATCATCAGCATTGTCCTTGTAATCAGGAGTACACCAGAGGTCCTTTAGTTTAGGTGGCTGCAGTGTCAGCCACACTAATATCCCAGAGAGCCCAATAACCCTTAAATAAGGAATATGAATATGGCTTAGGCTTAAATCATGAAGCCCCTAATAATTTAAGGTATATTCCTTAATTGAGGGGTATGGGGCTCTCTAATTATGAAGAGTTCTCACCGGGGATTGATGAACCTACGTGCCGGAAACCCTTTAAAAGCCTACGCCCAAAACCCACATTGCACCTATTGGTAAGACTCAAATTAAGAGAGACCAACCTTCTTGTGGGCTAATGACCTCACAACAAATCCTGCATCCTCAATCGAAAACTCTAGCGGGAACGATAAATGTTCAATCTCCTAAGCCGCTATTTCTGAGAGCAAGTGACAGGAAGTTAGAGCACGGATTGAGGATAACTAGTGCCCGGGTTCCTTATACTTTAGCTTAGCTGATCAGGATCATGATTTTCCTTCTTTCTGCTGTACTTAAAGACAACCTGGACTTGCTGGTAATTGAGGTGCTCTAAGACCCCACGTGTCAACTCCCCAAACCCTAAACCGGCCGTTCAGGTTCGCCCATGGAGACAAGAAAGGCTTGCCCATTCGGACCCTGGCGATGGATTTGTTGTGCGGGCTGGCTTTCTGGCGGCTTTACGGCTGTGCTGTTTGCATTTGTTGAAGGGCCGATATCAAAGGGTTCAGGGTTTTAGGAGTCTGATATGCTTTCGGGGGAAAGGGTGCTGGCTGCTAGACAACGAGGCCTGCTGCAAAAAGAAGTCTGATAAGAAAACCCTTGAACCGGATGTCAAAAGTTGTGTTCCCTGAACAAGCTAGCAGCTAGAAACAGGCAAGGGAGGTTAGTCTTGCGGTTTTCGTTTGTGAGGTGGGGAATAGGAGGCTTATAATAAGGACGATGATGTTGACGATGACAATGGTGAGAATGGGCGAGGCTGCCACTTTGCAGTCGTCGGTCGTTCTTTATCGAGGATTCCAGAGGATCGCTTAAATAAGGGCATGTTTCACATGCTAGCGGCCTATTTTGTGCTAGTCAAGGCCGCGGACTCTCGCACTGGTTTTGATGCAAGAGCTTTCGAAGCAAGGTTAAGCCCCAAGCCTGACAACAGCAAGCAAGACTCTTCCCTCATGCACACACACACACAAGATTTTCAGGCACGGCAATAGTTATCTACGCTGAGCCTTTCTTGCCTGTAAACTTGCGAAGCAGCAGCTCCAAGATGCCCGCCGATCCGTCTAGGCCTGGGAAATGGTAGCAGGGGTGGTGGCGATGTCGTCTTGCACAGGACGTCCAAGAGCTAAAAGAGCAGGCAAGCTGCAAGTTAGGTCAAAAGTCGAGTTACCTACTTTAAGCCCGGGACGACCCACCCAAACTCCGAACCCAAATCCCAGCTTCTAGGGGCTCCAGCGGTACGCAGCTCAGGTCGACATGGAGCGAGACGAGAGGCTGCGCTTGGAGGTAGGAATTCACCTTTGCTTTTTTTCCTGGGGGGATTCTTGAAACATAGCGTGCAGGGGTAGGGTTTCAGTTCCATTCGAGATGTGACAAACAGATCTTGATACTCTGTGTAAAAAGCTAGGGCCCTTTATTTCCTGAGACCCCCGAACATAATGTCTTCGTTTCTGCTTGGCGGAGGGCAGAGAGCACCGGCAGGGCCGAGATCCTGTGTCTGGAGTAGGGGAGGATTTCTAAGGGTCTGACTGGTGGCAAAGTTGTTGAACCCTAAACCCTAAGCCATGCCTTTCTGGAGGGAAAAACCATGCCTCTCTACTGTTGCTTCGGAGTTACCCTGCAATGTGGGCTTTGTCCTTGCCAGGTAGGAGGGACAAAAACTGGGCATGGGACGGACCAGCCTTGTGTCACCCAAGAAGACATCGCGCACGCACGGCGGTAACATGGCCCAAAATCGTAAAACGAGTTGCGAGAGTCCAAAAATCAATCAGAGTAAAGGCATATCAGCACGTCTAAACTCTAAACAAAGCACCACCTAGCCATAGAGCCATAGACTCATAGAAAAGCTACATACGGCAGCATCAGTACAAGACCAACCATTACAACAGCCCGGTCAAGTCCTTCGTTTTCCGGAATCTGAAAACCAAGATTTTGACAACCGCCCCGGGTTGAGTTGTGAACAACGTCATTCTTTACCGCAGTTAACATGATTTAGCCAGTGCTCTGTCCCCAAACCCTATTCCGCCGATTACGACAGCTAGGTTACACACCCCGCAACCAACCCTAATTCTACTTATGAGTGCCCGCTACTATACCCTTAGTAAGGTAGCAACGCCTATAGGAACCCTCGCGCAACCCTTTTTGTTAAACCGTATCTGCTCTGATGGACCTGGCATTCAAAGGGTAAAAGGAGGGACCCTTAATGGGGACCCCTAACCTATAATGGGCTACATAATGGGTATATAATAGCTATATTAAGGGTATATACCTAGGGTCCTTATTAAGGGTCCCTCCTTTTACCCTTGGAGGCATGGCAGCAGTTCAACAAAAGGCTCAGTAATAGGTTTAGGCTTGAGGGTTGTGGGATTAGTTGAGTAGGGTACTTAGCAGACAGAACTGGGACTTGCGGTAAATTGTAGCATATTGGGGGTGCAGGCTGACATCAACACTATTTTCCCTACTTCTTTTGCATGCTGGTTCAAGAAAGCTAGTCCACGACACGATAGCCTGACTCCCCAATTCTGCGACGTCTCTTTTTCCCCGGGAGGTCGTTCGCTACGACAATCGGCTGTCGCTTGGCTGCTTCCTTATGAAGACAGCTTACTATAGGGGTTTAGCTAAGTGGTAGTAGTAGTAGTAGCATCCTCTCATAAGTCCCTTATCGTCCCTGTAGGACTCATTTTGATATACTCAGAATCCTGTTCTGATTATCTTTGCGCCGTCTGAAACCTGGGGTTGCCAGGGTAGGAGGTTGCTTTCAGCATGTCAGGGCCACTGTCCTTTATGCTAGGATAGCTTGGGGATTTTAGGGTGTAGGGATGTTTAGGGTATAGCATGAAGGGATGTCCGTCTAAGACGGCCGACTGACATTGCAAAGCAGTGGCTGGCTTCAATGGAACGAGTCAGTGTTTCATGCGGTGCCTTTGTCAGGGTTGTATGGCATCAGCAAACGGACTTTTGGAACCTAGGCTTCTGCGGATTTGCCAAGCCACGATTCTACCAGTCACATGTACATGCATGCCTCAGTCAAGCAGCTAATGCGTTCCCGTTCCCCCTCATAGCTCTCCTCATGCTGCTTGCTTTCGTTTGCCTCATCAGCCTCAAAGCAAACCAAATTGAAACCTGAGCTGCCAAGTTACTGTCGCATCCCCTTTTGTGTTTCGCATGCATGCGAACGGCCACAGTTGGTTTTCAAATCACATGGGTGCTGACATTCGTAAGCGAAAGTGTTTCTTAATGAGAAACATTAGTGCCCTTTACAGGGCACTCTTGGGGGCCACTTGGGGGATCTTGGGAAGCTCTGAGCCCCTCCGGCTGGCAAAGGCATTCGCTATGCAACAGGAGGCTTTTCGCCTTCAAGCACTACCAAGCCATGTTGCGACAGCGTCAGGGAGTCGCTTGACAATGTTACCCCAGGGATCAAAATAGCCCAAAAGCCTTAAATTGTATGGTCTTTGGGCCCCAAAAGCCGTAATATATGAGTCCTTGGATCCCTAGGGTTAGAGGAGCATTACTGTGTGAGACCTACAAAGAAGTCGTGTTGCAGAGGCTCAAATTAAAGTTTCTCGGGGGTCCTCATATTGAGGCCCGCAAAGAAACGGGGATTAATCACGCGATCTCTAAACCTTCGACCTAGTCTGTTTACGGATTCATACGGGGCAGCTCTATAAGGGTTTTGCAACGTCGCGCGGAGGATTCCCTACACGTAGGGGTACCTTACTTCGAGCTTTTACAATAAGGATCCTGCCAATTGAGGGTCGGAATCTGGGGTTCCTTGATGTTTCCAAAGGCCCCCATAGCAGTATCGTTCCTTGCCATTGTGTAGTTTGGCTTCCCTGATCTCTTTATGCATCATCTACCGTGAAACCCTGTCAGAACATGGTGAACCCTGACGGTGACTTTTCAATAGTGGCTTTAATAACCACCTTTACTGTATTGGGGATTCCTTACTATAGTTATAGTATTTTGTAATGGGCCCCAAAGCTTATTCTAATTATTGAGGCCCCTGCCCCTTACTTGCGAATCTCCTAAACCCTAAGCGCTGAGCGCTAAATTAAACCCCTAAACCTTAAACCCTAAGCCCTCAAGGCCAAAACCCTAAGCCCTAAACCCTATCAGTGAAATCTTAGCTCTTTCAACTGTTCAACAAAGGTTCCCTGCAATGCGGGCTTCGTCCTTGCCAGGTAGGAGGGAAAAAGGAAACAAAAAACAAACTATAAGCCCTAAGCTTACCTTTGGTTAGTAGGGAATGGAGGAATGGGGTACAATTATAACTACCATTACTACCATTCTTCCATTCCCTACTAACCAAAGGTAAGTAAGCTAAAACCCTCAACCCTAAATCGCTCGCCTCCGACGGCCGAGGACCAGAGCGTTCAAGCGCGAGCATGGGTGCGTCATCGAACGCTGCTGGGCTAAACGAGTCTACACAGAGACTCCAACATCCCTTAACTAAGGAATATTCCTGAAATTCTGTAGGATCCCTAATATGATTTAGGAATACTCCTTAATTGAGCTGTATTGGAGTCTCTGCATAGAGGGTTTCGGGTTTGGGGTGCAAGGCACTATAACTGCTACTATACGGATAGATAGGGTTTAGACTTCGGGTTTAGGGCTATAGGGTGTTGAGACTTGGGAGGTTTAGCTCGGGATCTGGGGGTTAGTGCTTCGGGCTGTGGAATTGCTGTGGGTTAGGGGAGTGTGTATGAAACCCTAAACCCTAAACCGGGCTGCTGGACAACGAGGCCTGCTGCAAAAAGGCTGTGGGATTCGAGGCCTCTCGAAGCACGACGTGGTTTGAGCTTCTATAGAAGCCTGAATCCATTCGTTTTGTAATTTCCTACTGCTCCCTGCTTCCACACGACGCCCTCCTCAGCACCCTATCCTAGCTATTGTAAGACCCGTATCCTACACAAGCAATGGCAAAGCTTTTTGCATTGTGTCAGGGACGTCGAGCTTCAGCTTGAATAGATAAAGATGCCTCAAGAATAGCGATACTATACGCATGTTTTGTAGTCCCCATACGTAGAACTACGGCTGATGGACAAAATCCTGCATTACCCATAATAAGGATTATCTCATAATTCCCATAGTTTAGGGTCCTTGTGGCAATGCAGGAGTCCATCAACAGTAGAACATACCCAACCCAGACAACCCCTAGTCAAATCATCTTTTCGGCTAGTCCGGCTCTGTACCGTGACCCGGGACGGTTTGCAGTCATTGGGACAATGCCGAAGTTTTGTTTAATTGTGCTACCCTGCAAAACTGAAAACCGATCCTAAACTGTAGCTACCAATACTATTCTGGGGGTTCCTTACTATAAATATAGTATAACGGGTGGCAAAACCCTATTCTACAGATTCATGCCGCTATATTAGAGTTTGGGGATTGCGGGTCTGTGGCTGCTGTCTTCGACACTGCGGGGAGCCTACAAGGTTCCTTCCTCATCCCTCAGATCCAAAGCTCAGTAGTTGAGTGGATACACTTTACACTTTTTGGGATAAAATTACCCAAAACTGAAAGTGTGCACTTTTGGGTGCTTTCGGACTCAGCCTCCAAGAAAGCCCTGTCCTTTCAAGCGGAATGACTTCAAATAACCCCTAGATACACCCACGGGCCCTCGGCAAGACTTGAACGTCAAGAATCACATTGGCCTTAACTAAGGGGTACTTAGAAATATTTTTAATTTTTGGTTATTATAATCCCTAAGAAATAGCTAAAATTATATTTTTTTGCTAGGGTTCTAAGTTCAGAGTAGTTAAGAGTCACCCGAAAGCTTCTCAAAATCCACACTTCAGGCTGGATGCCATCACAGCGAAATTTGTCTTGGCGTTCACGACGAAGTGTCGGGGCGTGCCCTGTCGGGCGGTATTGAAGGCTTCTACGCTATAGGTTAGAAGCTGCCCCCACCCTGTAATAGTGGTATAATAGGAATATATTGGGGCCCTAATATAATCCTATATAATCCTTATAGTCACTATTACAGGGTGGGGGCAGCTTCTACGCTATAGGAGCCTCCCAAAATTTCCCTTAAGTATTGGCTGGATTCAGGAGGGAGCCCATGCCTCGCTCCACATTATCCTAGTAGTAGAGCAGGCAACATTTTTAGGGCTTAGGGTGCCCTTAAGGGTTCCTTTAAGGGATCTATAGGGGTTCTATAAGGGGGCTCTTAGTAGTAGAGTAGGCAACCTTTGACCTTTTTTGGGTAGTGTAGTCCCTGTATAGTCCCTATATAACCAAAAAGGTTAAGCTTTAGTTCCCCATGATACCCGACAAGGAGGTTATACTGGTGGGTTTCAGGAGAATTTCGAGAAACTTTTGCCCCAACTATTTGCGCGATTCAATTTTTTCGAATATCGAAAGGGAATGGAGAGCACTGCCAAAAGCAACTTTAGTCATAGTCATTACTGTCGCTACACATCAAACTGATTGTTCAACCTTGAAAGTACATAACCCTTTGAAACCTTAGTGCTAATCAGCTAAACTTGTTTGCATCCGGTCTGCAGCGACTCTACCTGGTCCGCCCTCAAGCTGTTCATGAGGAACTGAACTAAACTAAACGTGGAATCTACGCAGCCTGAAATTATGGAAAACCCCTTTGCCTAAATAAGCCGGGGCAGCTTCCAAAGTCGGAAGCTCTCAGCCAGAAACACCGAATCCTAGCAAACACGCCGTCCCTGAATCCCCCGGTTTACAGTAGAAGCCAGAAAGTTGGAACATCATTATCCTCATGCCCTTAAGGTAAGGTAGAGGGAGTCCCAGCACTAATAATTCTGAATCAATAGTCCAACTTTCTGGGGTTTGCCATAGGGTTCAGGCTAACCTGAAGTCTTCAAAGCAAGAGCACGAGTCCAAGGGCCGAGGGTCAAAGTCCTGAAATCCAGGTCCCAAGGGATGATTTCTATGAGGTTTATGGGTAGTTATAAGTGGAGTTATAAGTCCCCTAATATGGGGTATAGGTATAGTTACCCTACTTATATCTACGCTTGAACCTCCAAGTGTGGCTTGAGAGTAGTGACTGCGTTTGTTGGAAGATTGGAGCCTCGCGAATCCTAAGTCCTGCACCCCTACGCCATGATACGGTTGATGATATAAATCCTGCATTACCTGGGTAATGCAGGGTTTATATCATCAACCGTACTACAATCCCAATGCTCAGTCTTGTGGTTCAAAGTCCTCCAAGCCTGCACACTCCGAAACTCCCTGAGCCCTTATAGAGGGTTCTTTCCGAAGCTACCAAGCCTTGAACCCGAAACTTATAAACTCGCTATAACACATACCCTAAGGCTCCATGTACCCATATAGTATATACTTAGGCCTTAAAGTACCTATATAGGGACCCCTTTCAGGCCGAAGTATCTACTATAAAGGTACATGGAGCCTTTGGGATAACAAACAAACCGACTTGGAGGTTCACAGGTACTTGGAAGGGCAGGGGACTTAGTAAGTAGGTTATAAGTAGGGTTGTAATTGGGGTAACTCCATTTAGGGCACTTATAACCTACTTACTAAGTCCCCTGCCCTTCCAAGTAGTTATGCGCAGGGTTATAAGTGGGAGCTTTCCAAAATTGGGGGGTACCATAGGGGTCCTTATAATACGGATCCTACTATTAAGGGTGCTATATTAGGGTCCCCCCATTTTAGGAAACTCCCAAGTAGGGCAAGTATACCTATACCCCATATTAGCTTATAGCTACTCAGAGGCCCCATATATAGTAGTTCGTTTTTGGGATTAAGAGAGTTCTAAACTATGAACCCCAAAAAGGAACTACTCTGGGGCCTAAACCCTAAAACCCATAAACCCTCAACCTTAAACCCTAAGCCCACCCTGGCCTTAGGTATTCCTTAATTCGGCTCTCTGAGCTCAGGAGACGGTTGAGCTTCGTGGAAGTACGGCAGCGGCTGCTGCTCCCGAACCTAGGAACCGACCAAGGAAACCTCCTGACTGAAGGGTAGTTAGGGGTTTGGGGTTTTGGGGGTTTAAGGGTTTAGGCTTTTGCAGGCTGGATGCAAAAAAAGGGTTTAGGGTTTAGGGGCTTAATGGGTTTAGGGTTTACAGCAGGAAGAGATTGTCGCTGCAGGCTGTAGTGTTCTTGTTGGAGTCTTCTAGGGTTTTTGGGTTGGCGCACGAGCTCTTCCTGTTCCTCGCTGTGTCGACCTGCCCTTCTCCCTGTGTATCCTATCTATCCAGGTATGCGAGGATGTGTTTACCTAGACATCCATCCAGGCATCTAGTTATCTAGCAGTCTCTCTGTGTGCGCACGTGCATGTATATATCAGCATCTAGTGAATTGAAATCATCTGCAATGTTACATCTGCCTCCGTGATTACAGTCGTGTGGCCGCTTACTGTCCACGCTTTCCGGAGCCGTGAGGCCTGTTGCAACTGCCGAACTACAGTAATGTAGGAAGCTGATTAAGAAGCCCCCGCATTGTTCCATCTGCCTCCGTGCTTACAATTTGTTTGTTCGCTTGCTGTCCGCACTTTCTGGAGTCGTGAGGCCTGTAGTAACTGCGAAGTACTGTAATGTAGGAACCTGATGCAGAAGCCCTGATCCCACAACCCCAAAATATTCGGATTTTTATAAAGAAGTCCAAGAAAGACCCAAGATTTGTTAATACGCTTTCTGTATTAGTACATGAGGCTGCTTTCGTAGGATAAGCAGCTGGTCTAAGCGAGGGCATACCAGGACCCTAAAGGTTCTACCTTTTTTAGGATTCCTCCTCATTATTTCCTTTCTGAAGTCCTTCAACAGAAGCAGGTAATTCAGGGTCCAGGTAAGTTGTATAAGAACTAAAGAACCAAATGAAGGAGCTGAGCAAGATGAACTGTTGTGCCGTGCTGAGCAACAGTGAGATGGCACAAGTTCCTATGAAACGTAGCTAGACACAGAGACTCCATGAGTTGCAAGAATCCTGTGAAACCCACTCTTGGGGCAGAAAAGGCATGATGCTGCTTCTACTAGGTTTTTCCAGAAGAAACCGACTTATGTGATACCTTTTCCTTTTCTGTATCAGCATTTCTCGTAATATGATTCATCTTGAGTTCCGAGCGCAACAGAGTTTGAGCCCCAACAGGAGCTGCAGCAGGCAACCCCTGAAGCCCAGCCCAGAGGGCCCAACACCCCTTGATTAAGGAATATACCTTAAATTATTAGGGGCTTCATATTATGATTTAAGCCTAAGCCATATTCATATTCCTTATTTAGGGGTTATTGGGCTAATTAAGCTGTATTCCTTAATTAAGGGATATGGGGCTTTCTGGGAGCGACCATACATCCGAAGCATGAGTAGGCCACTGTCCTGGGGGAACCTAAACCCCAAACCCCAAACCACAGCTTAGTATCCCATGTGATACGTATCCTAAACCCTAACTGGACCGGGCTCCTGGGGTCATTTTTTAACACAGATAGCTCTACCCATAGGCCCCAAAGTAGTTCCTTTTTTGGGATTACTTTATAGGATTCTTTATATATGAACCCCAAAAAGGAACTACTTTGGGGCCTTAGGGTAGCTTGAAGAGACCGCTTGGCAGCACAGGGACCTGGAGCCCTTTTGGTGATGTCAAGCTGGCGCGTGGATCGCGGCATTGCGGGGGGTCCTTTCCCAAAGGCTCCATGTACCATTATAGTAGATACTTAAGCCTTAAAGGGGTCCCTATGTAGGTACTTTAAGTGACTACTTGGAGGATCATGGGACTTGGTAAGTAAGGTTATAAGTACCTGAATTGGGGTCATAAGTAATTATAACGGGGGTCCTTGGCCCCGAAACAGAACTTGTTCAACCGTATTTGGTTTCAGACCCCAAACACGAAATCGGCTATCTCCCGAGTGGTGCCCACATGCTAGCATTTCAGCTGATGTCTTTAGAATTTCACAATTTTCGACAGTTGTAATTTCAGACATCGGGCAAGGACTCGGCCTGAATATCTTTCGTCTTCTCATGCTTGCCCCTTTTAGTCTAGTGCCAGAGGCCACTTTGAAAAAAACATGGCCTCCAACCTCAGGCGTGCAGAGGAAAGAGTTCGTATTCTCGGGCCAAGGTGTTCAGCTTAAAAGGGTTCAGGGTTTAGGGTTTCGAATTTTTGGTTAGGCCTTGGCTTTTGAAGATGCTGTAGATAGAATGGCAGGTGCATGTTCAAGAGCAGCTGCGTTCGCATGATGATTGTGCAACAGAGACAGCGGGTAAATTTGGCTCAAAGGGAAGACATGAGAGAGAACTGGGGCTCATTTCGGAAAGCAGGGCTCTCATCTATTGAAGGCATAGTGTTCCTCCAGCACCTGCAAGTGAGCCAGCCCTGCAATGGCAATCTTGAGCTTCAAGCCACTGTAACCCAGGGGGTCCATACCTGTCACCATTATGGAATTGGGCCCCGAAAGACCATCCTCATTGTGGTTTTGGGGGCCTAATTCCATAATAGTAGTATGGCTGGACCCTCTAGGTAAGGGCAAAGTGTAGCCGAGACTGCATGTGCCCCGTAAGCCCGAAACCCTGTAATGTGTAAGATGCAAAGACAATAGCGGACTCCATCCTGGGACATTAAATAGGCAAGCAGAAATTCACTGTAAACATATAATAAAAGCACTAAAGGAAAGCCCACATGGCTTGTCTCGGGCGTGACGAGCTACTCGAACTGCGTGGGCAGCACGCCAGTCCAAGTGCAGAGCCTTTGCAAAGCCTCATGGTTGCAGATCATAGGGTTGTCCACAAAATCAAGAAACACCCTAAACAGCACAACGAGGACTGTAATCACTGAGCCCTAAAGCTCCAACATGTAATCCTCGGTAGGTCCAAAATGCCTCCTGGTGCCTGGTAGCCTGGTGGCGGCACCGACAGATGTTGCGACGCTCCTTGCCTGGTTCTTCACAGATGTTTACGGATGTCGCGCGGCCAAAATTCGCAGGGTCTATAACCTATGAGTTTTCGATTGGTTGAACGGTGTGCAGCGCAGACGTGTGTAGTGTTGCGGCGGCTGGGCAGAAGAATTCCACGTGTATGTAATGGATGGCTGGCTGGAGGAATGGAGGGACGGATGGATGGATGTGTGTGCATGCATGTACGTGTGTCGGCATGTATGCATTTCCGCAGGTATGCGGCTATGTATGTATGTACGTACGGACGGACAGACATATATGATCATATATGTATGTGACACAATGTGATGCGACATAACATAATGTACTGCACTGTATTGTAATGTAATGCAATGTATTACTAAGTGATCTAGGTATGTATACTGCAACGTTTGCAGTTACATCGCGGTCAAGGCTGGCATCATGACTGCTTGGAGGTTCATGGGTAGTTAGAAGTCGGATTATAAGTAGGGTAACTATACTTAAAGCCCATATGAGGGGACTTATAAACCCAGTGAAATGTACGCATGAACCTTCAAGTGTCTGAGCTCGTATTTTTCCCAAAGGGCGGGTCGGTCTGATGACTGCGGCTTGAGGCACATGGTATAGTCCTGATCCGTCAGAGGTACAATGATGGCAGTGATAGTGCTGCATTATAGTATACTGGGCCGTAGGATATTTTGGTAAGGTATATTATAGTGTTTTGTCGACAAAGCATCTTCGGAATCACCTTGAGGGCAGTAGCAGTAGTATTAGAGGTGCTCTTTCCAAGACCGCATCCTTGAAAAGAAGCCTGGAATCAACAACCTTGGCCCTTGGCTCATAAATCTCCCCAACCCCCCTTAAATTCTCAAAGCCACAGAAACGCCCCTGATCCTGAATCCCCCCAAACCCTGTAAGCTCTCAAAACCTCAGTTAAAGCCGTTTCAAGCAAGCCGGGGATCTCTTTGGCAGATTCGAAGAGGAAGCCTTCGTGTCTTTCTTGCAGGCCCAACGAGGGATAGCATTGGGAAACCAACAAGGTGGTTTAGCTTTGGGGAGTTTAGGCTTTGTCCTTAGGTTTACGGCGTTTTGGGTTGAGAGTTGGGTTTGGGGAATTAAGGGACTAGGTGTGGGGTTTGAAGCGACTGGCATGAGTTCCAGCAGTTTCGAGAGTTCGGCCCTGCTCGGGGCACACATTCTCAGCAGAGGGAGCCCCCGGGCGACGAAGCAAGCCCACTGCAAAAGGTTTGGGGTTTAGGGAGTTTGGCAGTGAGGGTTTGGAGGTGTAGGGGTTTAGGGAGTTTAGGACTTTATAATGGTGGTATAAAGGATTCTGAATTAGATCCTGGTTCGGGAGGGTCGAGGCATAGCATGATCTAAGGTGTATTCCTTGATTCATCTGGCATCGAACCCCAAGTCCCCAAAACCGCCTTCAAAAACTAACCCTAAGTACTAAGAACCCTAACCGCAGTAGTGCTCCCAGCTGAAGCTGAAACTTCCAGCCCGCTGCTCCTCGCAAAGTGAGAGCTCTTCTCCAGGATTTGTTGAAGGAAGTCGCCATAGCAGTACGGAATCGAATATCTATTATTTGTAGGTCCCTGGTATGTTACCTTACGCTAGGTTCCCGAACAAAAACCACGCAAGGTGAGTAAAGAGTGCACTGGCTGATAACTTTCCCTCAGCTTCTTTCTTGAGGTTGTTTCCTCCAGGTTGTGAGAGCAGTGGGCTTCCCAGGAGTTGCCTACGGCACACTAAGGGCTCCTATAAGTGGCATGCCGGTGTGCTGTCTTAGCTTTGTTGGGGGCTGGCGCCGAAGAGGAACCCCTCCACTAACAGAGGTGGCTGAAGACATTGCTACAGTACTTATGCTCCAATTTGCAGAGGTATTATGAGGGCCGGAAGAGTACCAACCTTCTCCTTCAGGGCTCCTTGTTGTTAGTATACTGCAATGGACCCCAAACTTGTAATTTATCGGGTCCAAGCATGGCGTACCTGAAGGGCCCATTCTGATCCCACTTTTGGGATTTTTTGCCTTGGAGGTGGCTGGTCGGCCTTTGTCGCTACGACCCTCGGCTGCATGAGGTTTGGGATGCGAGTTTAGGGTCTTAGGGGTCAGGACTTGGGCTTACAAGGGGTTAGGCATTGATATGAGCCACATGCCCGCTAGCCCCTCCACTCGAAAATACCCCCAAGCCCAAAACCTCTCTGCGCCAAGCCACCTATACCGTAACTCTTGAAACCGCGTCGTATCCTCATGTTACCATAGCCTTGATGGTTACCCATAGTAACCATTGTACTCCTTGGGGTCCTAAGTGTTCTATGTTTGAAACATATCTTTGAAACATACTATACTATACCCCCTTAAACCACAGGTTGACTGCAGGTTGACTGTTGCGGCCCCTCATGAGGTACACTCATTTCTTTGGCCGAGACTTTCCAGCTTGGTATGTCGGACCAGCGCCACGACACCGTGGCAAAGGCAACTGGGCGTGTTCACTCGGTTTCATGTCGTGTTACGGAGGGGTAAGGGTTGTAGCGGTGCGGCTTGCAGAGGGGAGTTATTAATGTGTAGGACCCGTGCAAGGGGGCAGAAAAGGTCTGTAGAGGGCCCAATGCATTGCACACTATACACTTCAAAATCATGGTCAGGATGCCTCAGTCTCAGGAATCCTGGTTTTAGTGGTGTTGGTTATACAGCAAACACCTACAACCCTAAACCCTAGTTTGTGTTCAGCTGCTCCTTCACGGTTGCCCTTTCTGTTCCACTCCAGACCCTGAAAGTTGAGCACAAAAGGCCCTAAACCCCAAACCCTGCCCATGGCTGCACTCCTAGCCTCCCCAAAGGTGAAGAGAAGAAAGGGCTGAGATGGATCCCTAAACCATTAAACTCCATACCCTGGCCTCCCGAAACCCAAAGGGTCCAAGTAATAGTATACTATACACTTTGGGGGCCCAAATATCTGTTAAGTAGCTACTACATTGGTATTTGGACCCTTTCGGAAAGGTGAAGAGAAGAAAGGGCAAGAAGCGGCAGCCCGCAGTGCCGGAAGGTCGGAACCTGTTGGAGTTCTTGAGTTAGGGCTCAGGGCTTAAGGAGTAGAAACCATAAACTTGGAACATCATTATCCTCATGCCCTGAAGGAAAACGTGGAGGATCCCAGCACTAATCACAGTTAATCCATGTTCCAGCTTTCTGCGGTTCACAGATAGGTTTTGAGGAAGTTCATTGAGCCTACCTTAGCCGAGCATAACCTACTTCCTTGAGGCCTCTTGTTATACACCCTAATAAAGAAATTTAGAGGGATCCTACAAAAATTGGTTTCCCCTAAACTCTAAGCCCTAAACCCTAAACCAAACCCTAGACCCTAAACCCTAAACCACGGTTATGATCTGATCGGCGCTTGAGGCATCCGTCTCATGTCTTGAACTTCCTTGGACCTGACTCTGGGTTTAAGTTGCTGTGCCTGAATGTAAACCATTACTCTAGAGGCCTAAATAACTACCAATACTATTGCGGGGAGTTCCTTATTATGATTATAGTAAAATCTACAACAACACCATATTCTAATAATCCAGGCCCCTATTTTAGACTGTTTTCGGGCCTTTGTATTGCTCGTAGGATCTCTGTCCCTTGAACGCCATATACAGAACCTTTAAGTACATAGGGCAAGGAGTTGCAAAACATACAGTGGGCGATGATGCATGGAGGCGACGAAGAGCAGGAAGAAGGAGATGAAGAAGACGAAGGAGCCGAGGAGAATGGCGGCGAAGTAAACTCGAAGAGCAACTTGGCCGGTCTGCACTTGAGGTTAGCTTTCAGAGTTTTTGTTTTGGGGTTGAGGGTTCGCAGCTTTGCGTTTTTGGTCTAGGATTCAAGGTTTTTGTGTTCGGAGTTTCGGTGTATGCATTAGGTCTTGTGACTTCGTAGAAGTTGTTTGGAATCTCCACTGCCGTTGCACTTCCTCCCAACCAGACCATCGAACATGTTGCTAACTTTGGAAGACTCTCCCTAAAGGCTCCTTATTATCATCATCGCTTATAGACCCTAAAATCCTATATACTGTAATTACCCACCCTGCATCACATCCTTGTGTTTCGTTTGCATGGGTTGTGGGATGACACGAACGACGTAGACCTACTGAAAGGAAAGTACCCCTTGTGTTCGTGCGCATGACTGTCTTGACCGCACAAGGGCCAGATTGTAGTCTGAGCATGTCCTAAGATGATGCCTCTGTTCGCCGTTTATACCTACATGTAGGGTTTTAAGATGCATTGTGCTACGTTCTTACGGAAAAGTTTTTGCTAATCACTCAGGCTCCAGATTAACATGCTCGAAAGGTCGAAAACCTTTGCCTGCTTAACCGTTCAGAATCCCGAAGCGAACGCCCACATGGCAGATGCCCAGTTCAAAGAGTAGTATCCTTTTCGAGTGCGAGCGCCGAAACCCCAAAGCCTAAATGCTGAGCCCTTTTCTGCTTGATTTCTGTCTCAGGTAGCAGACGAGCTTCCTTTGGAGCAAACTGTTCTACCGAGGACCCGGGAAACGTGTTCTTCTGCACGTTTATTTCGCGTGTCAAAGTCCACAAAAAAAGCCATATTACTGATGCTTTAGTCCTTACAAAATACTAGGAGAGTAAGCCCCCAATACCCCAGCACCCGTTCTAAGTATTCAGGCACCCTTTTTTTTAGCAATTTCTGTATTATGCTGATACTTTGACAGTACCTTACTAGTAACTGGGCCCCTATGGAGGGACGGTTGTAGTTTTTCTCCGCTGCTCCCAGACAACCCAGAAACCTGGGATTCAGAGGTGGAGAGTTTAGAAACCCGAAACAGTCTACTGAAAGGATCATGGGACTTAGTAACTAGGGTTATAAGTAAGGTAACTATACTTATAACCCCAATTAAGCTACTTATAACCTTACTTACTGAGTCCCATGATCCTCCAAGTAGGACTCCCGTGAGACCTTTTGTTCATGCTGCCTTTATGGATTTGGGCGTCGAGGCGATGCTACACAAGATTTAGGGCGGTTTGAATATATTTTTCGGCTTGTGGCTTCGCTTATAGGATTATAGGCTTTATGTGCTCTTGCAATGTAAGGTCTGCTATGGGTACCATGGGGTTTCTTACTCAGGATCGTACCCTTAGGGGTCGCATTTAGGACGACTTGTGGTCGTGGAAAACCTCGTCCGCAAGCTTTCACACCGGTGAGTTTGGCATGCGCGTGTTTATAGACACCGTCATCGCAACCCTTATTATTGTAGCCCCTTTAGGAACCTTCATACTAACCCTTTATAGGGACCTTCTGAACATCGTTAAACCGAGATAGTCAGCTCCAACCGTAGTGGAACGAAACACCGAGAACACCCCCTCGAACCACATACCTCGACTCCGAAACCCAATCAAAGCCCTAAATGGCCGTAAATCTTAACCCCGTCAAGCCTGAAACCCTAAAGCCAAGAAAGCCTTAATTAACATTCTTGACCCTAAAACCCTAAGCTCTAACTTAAATCCCGAAGCTTTAAACTGACGAAAACCCTGAAACACTCTAACACCGATAAGGCCCGACCAGCTTTACGACCGTAATATCTGGGGCCTAAACTAGTAGGAATACTATTTTGGCGGCTCCCTATATTGAGCCCCTAGACAAGTCCAACAGCTTGAAGACCCTACGCAACCGACAGGATTTGGTCCGTACCTGGATCCAGAGACGCCCCGATCTCTTTCGCCCTCGACTCACGCCGCTGGAACTGGACACGGAGGTGCCGACCTCATTCGTCTTCCAAAGTGTGGTCCCTTACGGTTTGGAGTTGAGGGTTTAGGGAAAAGGGTTGATCTTCATGAATTTCACGACCCAGCGTTTACACAGTTTTCGTTTGTTGTCTTGAGTACCATAATTCCTCACAGCTGATGTTGAACTGCATGGCTTGTCATGACAGCAAGTTGTGCGGGGTTGCGCAGTCAGCGAATATGCTGACTGCTGCGTGGCGGCAGCTGTTCGGGCGAGAGAAGTCTGCTGCAAAACGGAAAAGGGGTTCCATGTGGCATATTGGTTCCTAGAAGTCTTCCTGGGCGTGGTTCATTACGGTTTGGGGACTATGGATTTAGGGGCTACCCTGGGTCTCCCAGTGGGTATGTGTTCACATTTTTGTAAGACTACACTACACCAAAAACGGAGCTTGTTTATTCCTAGGTTGTTGGGGATCCTTCAAAAACTCTTCATTGATGTGATCCCTTGCGGTTTAGGGTAGACCTAAGGTGACTGCGGAAGGCTCTGCCCTAGAGCTTCGCTGCCGGCATACATGCCAGTCCGTGCTTGAAGGGGAAACAAGTTTTTCAACAGATGAGGTGAGAGCATTGTTTCCTTTTGGTTTCGTTTACTTTGGCAATAGAGACTTGTCGTGTCGCGACTTTAGGACCTTGCATGCGGAGTGGCTTTGCTACCGGCTACATCTGTATTCTACTTTGGAGCTCCCTGATACGATTATAATACGAGCATGCCACTACAACGAATAACGATCGCATACTTTTACAACTGTTTTCCTTTGTGGTGTCAGATTGTACTTAACCGGCACGGGTCGGTGCCAAACCTCATGTGTTTCATCCTGCTGCCCCTTAGCTGCTAATGGTTTTGGAACTTCAACGTCAACCCAACCCCTAAACCCCTAAACCAAAGTCATATTCTAGTGTTCAAGGCCGCTGTCTTACATTGCTTTCCAAGGCTAGAGGCAGTCCAGCTGCCATGTTTCCCCCCTTGCAGCAGAGCTGGCAGAAGTTTCTAATATTGGATGATTAAGCACGGTTTAGGATTTTGGCTTTACGGTTGCAACCATATGTGTGCCTTCGATTCCTACGGGTCTTGGGCGACACCCTGAGGTCGAGCTCGCGTGCTCCGTGCCCTTGGTCACATTCCAGCTGCCCCCTTTTCGGATTCTTTCTGAGGCAGGGCCCTAAAGCGTGCTCGAGGGTGCTGCCTTCTGCCTTGGCATACTATAGGGACTTCAATAATTGCCCATATTTTTTCGGGGGTTCCTTACTATAACTATAGTATCATGGGCCCCCAAAACCCTATTATGATGAGAAAGGCCCCTAGATTATTGGCTTTCTGCCGTGGCATAGACAGGTTGAGTTGCAAGCGACCCACAGACTCCCCCAGTTCAACCCCAGAAAAGCCCCCTAACTACCTAAAAAGGCTTAGGGTTTAGGGTTTAGGGTTTAGGGTTAGGGCATTGATAGAGCAGCAACACACTAAAGAGGCAGCTGGGCTTGTAGCAAATCTGGATTTAGTTCAGAATGCTTACGACATGCGAACAGAACCCTCATAGAAAGCCCTTGTAGACACCCTTGAAGGAACTCTGTAAACGAACCCAAGTCTAATTATTAAGGCCTGTGTAGATAAATCCTCAATGCAGTGAGTTTGGAGTTCAGTTTGGAGTTTCTGGGGCCCTAGAAGCGCATACAAAGGCTTTGCGTTCTCAATCCTTCTACGATCATACCTGCAGCCCTCAAATCCTGAACGCCCTAAAAGGTAGAAAAGCCCTATAAGTCCGCCTACAACCATAAAAACACCAAAATCCCTTTTGCCCTATTCCCGAAGCCCTGAACCTTGAAAACACCGTGGAGACTCCAGGTTCGTGGCCTTGTCCAAGGGCATCAAATCGTTTAGTATCGGGGCCTTAATAATTAGAATAGGGAGTGGGGGGTATATTATACTATAGTTATAATAAAGACCCCCCCAAACCATACCATGCTCTAATTGTTAAGGCCCCTATACTAGAACCGCAAACCCCAGGCCATAATAAAGAGCCCCCCAAACCATACCATGCTCTAATCTTTAAGGCGCCTATATTAGAACCGCAAACCCCAGGCCAGCTTTGTCCCTCACCGCCTGAAACTCCGCAGTTGGACAGCATGTGGGGGTTTCAAGACGATGATCCCCACAAAAGGCCGCGTGCATGCCGAGAGAACCCCATGACATGGGGATCAAAATGGCCCAAAAGCCTTGTATAGTATGGTCTTCGGGCCCAAAAGCCTTAATATATGAGTCCTTAGAGCCTTAGGGCATGAGAGGGAACCCCATGTTTGACAAGCCTGACAACGCGGAGACACCCCACACAACTGACTGCGAAGACCCTTACTAAACAATGAACCCTGAACCCAACACCCTGATTCTCTAAACCCCTGTAGAAGTGGTATAGAACCCTTCGAAGCAACCTCACCACTGCCATGAGGCCCCCACTGACAACGATCCAGAGAAACATCTGCAGCGACTGCCGCTTTTCCAGTCATTCTGCGGTACGTGTCGTTTGCTTGTTTCAGGAAACAGGGGTACCTTGTAACATGGGGCAGGGGCGATTATTTCGGGTCCTATGGGAAGTCCGGCTTTGTAATGAAACTCTAGCTGGACTTGCAGGGGTCTGAATGATTGCTTGTGTTCCCTCACGGTCCCCAACATGACTATAGCATGGCCCCGTGCAGGATTTATGCGCATTTGCAAGTCTTTACTGAGCAGTTTGGTGGTCAGGACGATGATCAGGACTACAAGCAAGGAGAGGAACTACAGGGAGTGTAGGACCTGGGAAGGGTATAAGTCGTAGGCAGAGCTTGCGACTTCAATGCTCAAGGAGTCAATTTGCAGATCTTCGAGGTATTCTGTATTTGCATGTGGTTGGTACTTCACAGCACGAGTTTAGTGCAGCCCACAGCGCCAGAAGGCTTGTTCTGTTTTGGCAGTGCAACTGCTGGGTGGCTTCACAGTCCCTTTCTCAATTAAGCTTTAAACCCTACTCGGAAATCGCAGCGCATAAGTCGATGACTCGGCCACTAGTACGTTCAGGCGGTTCTCAGCTTGCTGTCCTGCTCTTGAACTCGTATTCTCAGGCCTACAAACCCAATGGGTCAGGCTAAAGGACTTGAGGGTTTCAGGTCGGATGGCGGTTCATTGAGCTGCTAAAAACCCTAAACACTGCGAAAGAACCTCTTTATCCCAAAATCCCTTGTCGTACCCTTACAGTATCCCTTACAGGACCCCTTCCAAGGAACCCTATTCTGATTATTAAGGCCCCTATACTAAACCCCATAATACCCCGTATAGTAACCGTTATAGGCCCTTGCAAGGGTTCCTTATTATAATTATACCCTGTTCTGATCATTAAAGCCCCTATATCACGAACCCCGAGCTTCGAGGTCGAGGTCGCTCTACGAAGCCGAGCCGAACTACCTCGCTGTCCTGCCGAAAAATGCAGAGGAACCACCCGTGTGGGTGGTTGTCAAAATTATGGTCCCTTTTGGGGTCCCGAATATAGTACGGCACCTACTATCTAGGGTACCCAAAAAGGGACCATAATTTTGACAACTACCCGCCTGTGTGTTTTCAGGGTTTCGGTGGAGTCTGGGTTCAAACAACTGGTTTCAGGGTTCAGGCTTTACCCTGCAGCGAGCCCTCGGACGTGGCGTTCCATGGTTACTCACTGCACTGGTATGTTGGAGTGGTGGGTCATACAGCTTTCAATGGGTGCATCTTGTGGAGGAGCACTAAACTTGTAGCTGCCAGGCAACATGCTCGGACAGCGCGATAACTAAGCTGGGCCATTCCGCATATGTTGGTTTGCAGACTTAGACCAGGTACAGCCTTTGCATCTAATTTAAGATGCGATTCCCGAAACGTGGTATCCACATCGATCGGACTGCTTTCGTAATCGGCCTTCCTGTCCGGACATGGGCTCAGGGCTGGAGGGGCAGGATTAGCTGGAACACCCTGCTTCCACGTTGGGTTTGCTTACTCTCTCACTCTCTCTCTCTCTCTCTCTCTCTCTCTCTCTTTCTTTCTCTCTTTCTGTCTTGTTTTAGAAGAGATTACAGATGCAGTCAATTGGCCTTATAACGAAGACGGCTGCGCACACACGCCAAGCTCCCACAGGAGTTATAAGTCTTGCAGTCTCGGTGCCTCAATGTGTGAGGCGTGAAGTTGGGTTTCTGGCGCAAGGCTTGAACAAATTGTTTGAGTGATGCATCAGCAGCAGCCTATCAGTTCCGCCAAGGGAGAACCCAGCTTTTGTTGGGATTTGCGTCTGCTCCTTTCTCTCCATGAAAATCTCTCTCTATTCCTTAGTCTCTCTCTCTCTTTGTGTCTCTGTCTGCCTACTCTTTTGAAATCCAAACCCCTTGTGGAGAGATCGTGGCTTACGGCTTCTGCGGCTGTTTAACCATAGGCTCCATACCATAGTAGTTCCTTTTTGGGACTACCTTACAGGATTCTAAATATGAACCCAAAAAGGGAACTACTATGCAGCCTCTAGGCAACCTAGAGGAGCCTCTTGCGGTATCTGAGGGCTACCCTGGTCAAAATTTTCCTGGCTATCACATCGAGCCATTGTTTAAAGCAGCCCGCAACCCTCTATAAAACCCTTTTGGGTTGAGCCTGAAGTGCTTCTGTCGCAGGAACTTTCGGAGAGCAAAGCAGAGAATTTCTTGCAGCTCGCGGCACTGCAGGACCGTGGCACAGACACCAGCTTGACCCAAAGCAGAAACCCGCGGCCTAAACCTTACGCCTTCGGTTTAGGGCCTAGGGTTTTGGATTTGTAGTGTGAGGGTTTCTAGGGCGAGAAAATTTGTTCAGGTTTTAGCAATTGTTATCAGGGTTGAGAGGCTTATGGCTTACCTAGACCCCCCAAACGTAGGTAAAATAATGGCCCAAAATCTATAAAAGGCTAGTATTCTACAGACTTTTGCGGTCCAGGTAGGGGTTAGTTCAGGTTTTCCGAATTCGAGTCTAAGGCTGGGGATTCAGGGGACCTGCACCACAACAATTGCGGAATGCACGAGATCCTTTGCTCCTGTGCCAGAAGTCACATGTCGCGGAGCCCTAAGCTCGTACACCCGGAACCCCCAACCATCACAAGGCCCTAAATTCTAAAACAGGACTCGCTCCTCACCAGCGTCTACGGACATCTGAAGAAGTCGCCTGGCTGTTCTGTGTTACCTTCGAGTCCTGCACCCTCTCTTGGGTATTGAAGGTCTGGAGCTTGTAATTCCCTAAACCCTATACCGTGGCGGAGGTTTCGGCTACAGGATTTAAGGGTCTTGCGCTACGAGGCGCTACATGGTCCGTATGGTCGCACCCTCCTGCATATCGGCATCTGGTCTTCTTGCCTTGGAGGGTTTATGTCTGCCATACAGCCAGACGGCACAGCGAACCAGCTGCAACCAACCATGAACGGCAAAGTAACCCAGTTTTGCAAGTGAATTTGCAGCGCAACGACCAAGACACACCAAGACTTTTCTTCTTCTTGACTAGTGAAAGTGTACAGTAAAGGTTTAAGTGAGGAGTTTCATATGACGAGTTAAAGATAATCGAGCTCGCGAAAGAAATGCAGTAGTTGCTACTCGGGGCTTCGTCAATCCATATCCTGCAAGACGGTTTTGGTGGAGATTGGTGGACGTCCAAGCCTTCAGTCATGTTCACCTCGCACATAGCGGATGAAATATAGAACGGGAATATGTATGCATGCATGTCTGTATGTATGTATGTATGCATGTGAACACTACGTACGCATGTACGCGTGCCTTTGTATGCATGTGTGTTTTGGTGTGGCATGCTGCAGTATCGTATGCATGCCTGAACTTCTGGCTAAGGAAGATGCATCGCGTTCAAGGCCCGGCCATCGTGCCAAAGAGGTCCGGAGAGGATGACACGCAGCATCTTCTCCGAGCTTTTCGCAAGCACGTGGAGACTTGCCTAAATTCAGCTTAGGGTTTCTCTCGATTTGCTTGTACATATGTCATGTGTTTGCACCCATACATACCCATACTTTCACACAGAGACAAACGGACACGCATACACACGCACAGCCGTGGACTGATGTAGGGAGAGAGAGAGAGAGAGAGAGAGAGAGAGAGAGAGAGAGAGAGAGAGAGAGAGAGAGAGAGAGAGAGAGAGAGAGAGAGAGAGAGAGAGAGAGAGAGAGAGAGAGAGAGAGAGAGAGAGAGAGAGAGAGAGAGAGAGAGAGAGAGAGAGAGAGAGAGAGAGAGAGAGAGAGCGAGAGAGAGCGAGCGAGAGAGAGCGAGAGAGAGCGAGAGCGAGAGAGAGCGAGAGCGAGGGAGAGGGAGAGGGAGAGGGAGAGGGAGAGGGAGAAACAGAGAGAGCGAGAGAGAGAACGAGAGAGTGAGAGAGGGAGAGAGAAAGAGAGAGAGAGAGGGAGGCAGACAGAGAGAGAGAGAGAGACAGAAAGACACAGAGACAGAGGAGAAATACTTTTCGTGCAGGGTTCTTATACATTCTCGACACAGACTGTTGGCTCCAGGGGGCTTTTGGTTTCGGTGCTCCTGCTCTCTGCTGGCCTCGTGACAAGATATAGTCGGGGTTGAAGGGTCTAAAAGGCTTGGCCAAGGACATCTGTCAACTGGGGTTGATCGAAAGTGGCGGCTCGCATCACGCACTCCGATTGAAAAAGGAGCCATCAACCCCGATCGGAGCTCCGATCCGGGATAAACCCCGCCCAACTAAGGAAAAGGAAGGCTATCTGTGCCTTGGAATGACTTGAAGGAGTTTCCTGCTCTGTCGGCATTCGGAGAAGCAGTTTTCAGAACTCATCATTGCTTACTTCGACCAGCAAGGGCTCCGAAAATTCCTAAAACATACCCCGGTTGAATCATTTGTACTAAGTGTCGGGTTGCTGGGGCCGGTTTTGCACAGCTACAGTGCGATGCCTGGCAACCCTTAACAATAAACCATAAACTCAAAGGGTCGCAGTCAGCTTTAAAAAGCAAGTATAAGCTCCTACCGAGATCGATTCGCCATCAAATTCTTTTACTCTAGATTTCCTTCCTTGACGTCCGAACACTTTCGCATTTTTGCTGGAGGTCTTCTGCGGCCGTTCGGGCGGAGCTGGATTCCATCTGTAGCTTGCGAGAATGTTCACAGACCCAGCTCCTCGGCTCATTCTGGGCCCTAAACCCCTAACTCCTAAACCCTTACACCCTAAACCCCTAAACTCGAAACCCCTAAACCCCAAGTCCTAAAACCTCAAAGGCTCATTCTGGGCTTTGGAGACCGAGGTCCTGACGTCCCCGGATTCGAACAGCTGGGCCCGAAATCCGTCCGCCTCCATGTTCGCACACCCGCACATGCGCTCGAAGCAACTTATTGGCTGTCAACTCAACTATTCAACTTTTGGGGCTCTTATAGGGTAGTCGATTTTGAAAGTTGCAACTTCTATTTTACTGGGTTTTGGGCCAGTGAGACAAAAGGAATCCATTCCTGAACAGCATAGCATAGTTTCATCCCTAGAAGCCCCAGCAGCCCTTCCCTTTCCTATCTCCGATTTTCCCTCTACTACAGGGGTCTGAAGCAGTAGTAGTATTCCCTAGAAGTCCCTACTACTGAACAATAACGTACCCCAAAGATCTATGCTACTTATTCAGGCCCTTCCTTGGGCGGCCCTAAGCCCCTACTCTCTGAACCCAGGACCCTAAGCCCTGAATCCTTTCACACTGCAGCCCTAAACCGCCCAAAGCTCAACACCCTAAGCCCTACCCGACCAGAGACCTGCCGTGCTTGCTATGACAATACGCGAGCCAAATAACCCTAACACCAAACTCTCGCCCGGATTGTCGGAGTCGTGAGCGCCGAAATTCAAACTCTAAACCCCAAAAGCCTTGAGCTCAAAAGCCTTAACAAAACCCCCAAATTGGCCCAAAGCGCTAATAATCCGGGCCGAGGCTTCTGAAGGACCAGCGGCTCGGCCCCATTTTCCTCGCCCAGATGCAGCTCACCGGCAAGGGGTAATGTAGGAGCTTCCGAAAATTAGGAAAACGTTAGTTTTGTTTTAAAGATGAGTGTAAGGCTTCTATAAGGGTTCCTACAAGGGTTCAGAGTTTCCGAAAAGTAGGGGCACCTTCTTTTGGGGTCCTTGTAATAAGGAGCCTACTATGTAGGGTACTATATGAGGGTCCCCTTTCGGAAACCCCCATATAGAAACCCAAGGAAGTACCAATATCATTTCCTATAGGGCTCCTTCCTGTAGATGTGCTTTAATCGAGCACCAAGACCTTGTTTTAATTGTTACGGCGCGCGTGTGAAGAGCAGCAAGCCTAGGTCTTTTTGGAAGATAGGGTAAGACAAGCTACAAAAATGTATTTGGCAACGGTATTGCAGGATAGTATTGTAGATGAACCGCGTCCGAGAGTGCACATGACATAATGCAACCTGATACAATGCACAAATACGTAGTAGAGCGTACTTGAAAGAGCCGGTTGTGTGCATGCATGAACGGTATGTGTGCATGTATGTATGCGCGTGTGCATGTACGCAAAGCAACAGGCACAGCAACTGCAAGAGAACAGCAACAGCTAGTATGATTGCATCAAGGGATACAGCAGGCCCAATACGTGTCTTTCAAGCTCTAGCCCTCGAACGGTTTCGCGCAATGTTGCGGTGGGAAGTTTTCCGGGCTTTTCCGAGACCTTGCTGTCGTTTACACTAGTCATGAGCCTGGGTTCTGTATGAGAACAGAATTCGGCAATCCAGGGCCTAAGCGTATTACAACACCCCTTCGAACCTCGGAAGACCGTGCCGGAAAGGTCATGGCACCCCACCACCACCTTCTGCTCGCTTAAACTCTATATTGGAAGAAGCGGTTAATTTCAACACCCTGCGGTAAGAGGTAAGCCTTTCCCAGAGGCTCCATGTACCTTTATAATTAGTAGATACTTAAGCCCCAAAGTAGTCCCTATATAGGTACTTTAAGCCCTAAGAATATACTATATGGGTACATGGAGCCTTAGGGTTTACGAAAGCCGAAGCCGGCGAGCCCCGCACACTGAAGGAAGATGCAGATGTTCATCGACACCACGATTTGGGTGGCCATCACCTCATGGCCCATCGTTGCTTGGTTCCCAGTAGTATCCTTTTGCCCGGTTGTTTTGGGCTCCCTGTTTTATTAGAACCAAACAGTAGGAAAAAAGGTACAATCACTTTTAGGGAATCTTAAGTTGAGCTAATCCGGCTCCCCTCTATGAGACTTGTGGTACAATTACTGGTAGGGGGGCTACTGGGGAACTGAGGTTACCTACCACGACCTGGAATCTACGATTATGAAAGGGGCCGACATTCGGCTGGCAACGGGAGGGCTGTCTGGTTGTTTACTTTAAGAATCTAAGGACTCACATATTAAGGCTTTTGGGCCCAAAGACCATACATAAATATGGCTTTTGGGCCATGTTGAGCCTTAGCGATAAGGTTGAGGGTCTTGCGTAGGAGGGCGGTCTTGCTGAGCGTTTAGGGCTTGGGGCCGTGGGATTTATTGATTTAGGGTGCAGGGATGGCTAGGGCTAGGGTTCATGGTAATTGGGTGGTTGTCAAAATTATGGTCCCTTTTTGGGTACCCTAAATATTAGGTTCCCTATTATAATAAGGACCCAAAAAACGAACCTTAATTTCGACAACTACCCAATTAGTATGCTGAGGTGACTGGCGGAACCGGCCGGCGAATATTGCACAGTTTCGGGTTCAGTTTGAAGGGTGAGGGGTTGCGGGGGGGTTTGGGGCACCGGACTTACAGTCATCAAGTCTAGCCTCAACGGGTAGCATTTCCGGAGACAGCGACGTTCGAAATCCGCCGAGGTTTCGATTTAAAGCCATTGAGTCATATCATATCCCCTAACGTTAATCGTAGTGTCCTCCAGACAGTTGGAGCATGGATTTAATGTGATTAGTGATGAGTGCTGGGCTTCCGTCTACTTCACCGTATGGGCAGAAAGACAAAGATTCTGCAGCTCCTTTTAAAGGAACCCTTTAGATGAACCCTGGAGCCCGGGCTTCAAGGACTTCCAACAGCAGCATCGCTTTGCCGACTGTGGGCTGGGAAGCCTTATCTATCATCCCATGGCAGCTTCGCTTTGTTTTGCTATCCGTCACACCCAAAACACTAGACCTCTTTTTTGGGGGTTGCTTGATATGGTCCGTTTATGTACAAGCTCAAAGGCGCAGGTTAAGGATTTGAAGGTTTATTGCTCGGAGTAAATAGGGCTTGGGATCAGAACATCACGGTGCCCTGCTTTTGATTCTCGGTGCTTGACAGAGTGAGAGGGTCAATGTAATTCACAATTTTCGTTACTGTGGATAGCTTCGGATGCAAGGTATCGGGTTGAGCGTTTCGCTCACTACGCTGACTGCTTGTTGTTCAGCCGGATGTAATGTTGTGATAGCAGGGGCGACGTCGAAGTTTTCAATTCCCAGCGAGCCCCATAACCCACAAATAACGGGTTCTTGTTAATCGTGTTTCGGTGTTTCCATACTATTTAATATAAATCCCTATTATGGTAACTTAAATTAAATTCCTTAACAGGAACCCAGAAATCTGGATGGGATTATTCGTATGATTTTAGGTATTTTAGCTCGTCTGATCAGTGTGCATCGTCCGATGGCAGCTCGGGAGCCCACGGACACGTTAGGGTTTGAGGGTTCAGGGTTGAGGGTTTTGGGTTTACGACTTTACTCCCTCCCTCGGTCGGCTCTGCTGCGCGTACAGCTGCAGCTGATAGTTATACTGTAGCAGGAGTGTGAGTAGTAGTTGCAATATACGGGAGAATTGTCGATGAACCCTTGCTAGTGCTGGTACTCCTGCTGCTACAACTACTACCAACTAGCACTATTTGCTACAATCGTTGCCACTGCCACTAGCATTGGCACTACCACTACGACTACCACCACTGCCACAGCAACCACCGCTACCACCACCACGGCGACGACTACTGCTGCTGCTGCTGCTGCTACTACTACTACTACTACTACTACTACTACTACTACTACTATTACTACTACTACGACGACTACTACTACTACTACCACCACTACCACTACCACTACCACTACCGCTACGATGACGACTGCTACGACTGCCAGCAGTACTGTCAGTACGGCTGCCGATACAGTCGTTCCACCTGAAAGTTTCATTATGGATCTGAAGAACTCCGGGAAAGACCGAAAGTCACCGCTAACGCCGTTCCAGAGCTGTGGCTGTGAAGCATACGCCCTGCAGCACCAGACTAAGGTAGCCCACTTCTTCTTCGGACATGAGGCATGGCCGGGGGTCAAGCAGTACTCTCATTGACATTTCTCGCGAGAAGTGAGGGAGGAATTTCGACCAGCTGGGTGGTGAGGACAAAAGGCTGCACGTTTAAGCAGCAATTTGCCGGAGTTCGGAAGTTCAAGCCTCAGGCTCATGGCTCATGACCCTAGCCCTAAACCGCCTAAACCCTAAACCCTATTAAACCGTATAGCTTCACGGATCGTGGCTTGACCGCCCGCATATTCATAGCAACCCACGAGCTCCAAGGCACGGGGTCCCAGGACAAGTGGGGGGACGCTGGTCCTGCTTAACAAACCCGCCCTAAACAGCGTGGGAATAACCGGATCCTCGCTGAGAGTTTTTATGCGCAGGCAGGGGCGTTTTAGTCAGGCTCCTACACTAACACAGGGTGGGAGCAATCGAGTAGTTTCTCTTTTTTGGGGGTTTCGTATGAAACGGTCCAGCATCAGCAAGGCGAAAAGGGAGCAGTTGAGCATTGAGCAGTCGCTTTGACTAAGACGGGCTAGGGCTAAGCTCTTACTGTGCAGTGCAACTTGAAGGTTGAAGTTTGAAAAACGGTAGTGGCACATGACATGGGAGTTTCCGAAGATTAGGGGTACCATATTATGGAATACTTATAATAAGGGTCCTACTATTTAGTATACTATATTAGGGTCCCCATATGTGGGCTTGAGTAGCTAGCACCAGCAGTCTTAAGGCCTCCTCACCTAGATGAGAATATATTGGGCCCCCAAGGCCCATCCAAATTATGAAGGCACCTTTCTACATTAGGATATTCGGGCCCTTCAGGGCGACAAGGATCCGCAGAGCATGCCGCCCAGGGAGTTTCCCAAGCCTCTTTGCAGCAACCGGTGGCCAGACTTTAGGGGTTTATGGTTTAGATCCAAGGGTAAAAGGAGGGACCCTTAATAAGGACCCCTAGGTATATACCCTTAACATAGCTATTATATACCCATTATATAGCCCATTATAGGGTCCCTCGTTTTCCCCCATGAGTTTAGGGGCTGCAGCAAGGATTTCCGGCTTATGGTCTGAGGTTCGAGGCGTCCACCTGTCAAAGTCAAGGTGCATGTTAGTGCCGAAGCTACTCGCAGACATCGCCATGAACATGCTTGAAAAGGGCGTAAGTCTATCCGTGACAGATTCGGGAGCGGCTCGCAGGCAGTTTGTATGTTCTGGGATGGTCAACGCGAGATTGAAGGACAGAGGCTGGGAAAGCTGCACTTGGCCATGGGATGTCAGCTCTCTGCCATTTTTAACCTTGGACCCGAAGCCCTCAACCCTAAATCCTTAAACCCTAGACCCGTATAGATCCCAAGCCCTCAGCCCTAACCCGGGATTCTGGCATCTTCCTGAGCAAACAGGACCTGCAAGCTGGGTTTAGAGGGGTTCTGAGTTCTGCAACCTAGGGTACAATGCGCGACATCATGCGGCTGAGTGTAAATGGCCTTAGCAGCAGCCCAGGTAACATTAAACATTTTTGGTGGGGTTTGAATAAATCTATAAAGATTAACCTTTGGTTCCTCTAGAATACTGGACAAGTAAGGACTAGAATCAGAAAGCCAAAGGTACTGAATTTCAGCTTGATCTGTGCTGTGGTCCCGCCCAGGGATCGTGGAAAGATCTGGCCCAAAAGCGTGCCAGTGTTGTCATTTAGGCCAAGAATTTTAGACACAAGCTGCTCATATGGAAACCCTGAACTCTATTTCTTCGGACCTTGATTTCACTTCAGCCGACTCAGTACCAATCAAATCGCTTGGCTTGTCCGAGTGTGGGCGGCGAAACCCTTTTTGAAGATCAGGCCCAGGGCTTCGTCGTGCTCAGAACTTCTATTGGGAAATTCCGAATATTAGGGGTACCTGACTTTTGGGATCCTTACAAGAAGGATCCTAGTATTTAGGGTGCTATATTCGGGTCCCTTCTTTTCGGAAACCCTAAACCCTAAAACCCTAAAACCCTAGGGAAAAAACCTAAACCCTAAATCCTAATACCCTAAACTACCCTAAACCGTAAAACCGTAAACCCTAAACCCTACCCTATCAGTGGCATGTGAGATCTCAGGATCACCAGCGAGCAGCTCCTTTATCTCATGGTGAAGGGCTTCTTCAACAATGAGACCCGGCGCGAGTTCTTGGCTAGTTCTTAAAACTCCCCGGCAGAAGTTTTAGGATTGGCGCCTGAAAGCCTAAGGGCCCCTAAGTTGATGTGGGTTTAGGGTTTAGGGTTTTAGGGTTTTGGGTTTAGGGTTTAGGGTTTTAGGGTTGGGTTTAGGGTTTAGGGTTTGCTTTTTGTTGTTTGCGGTCGAGGGCTCTAAGGTTTAATGCCGCGGCTCGCGGCTTCTAGGGTTTCGAGGTTTGAGCTTACCCCTGGAATTAAAAAGCCCATTCACCGCCGACGTTCTGGGTTATTAACTATTATGGTTATGCACCCTCAAGCAAAAAAGCCTAAACCTTAAACCCTAACACTAAGGAGACCTTGGGCTTGTATGTATGAGTTCTGATGGCTATTTTCGGTCATGTCATGTGTCTGCAGCTGCTGCCATGGGATGAGCTGTGGTGTCCTGTAACCCTAAGGCTCCAAGTACCTAAATTATCATATACTCGCAAAAATAGTAACCTACGTAACTACTCTTCCAAAACCGAGCACCCCCTTAGGGTAGCTCTTACCACTATCTTTTGTCCTTGGTCGAAGAAAGCATGAACCCTCGGCCCTCAACCCTCCATGCATGGAAGACAAGGAAGGCGAGTTCTTCCACAAGAAGTTCGAGAAAGAGTGGAGTCTGGAAGCAGGTGCCTGAAACCATGGTTTCATGCTGGATTCCTCAGGTTCTAGCCTTGGGACCCAAGCCCTGAAAACCCTGCAGTCCACAACAAGAGCTCTGCTAATAATTGTCAATATCTACCAGTTGACAGAATTGTCTTTTCGGGGTCGGAACGATAAGTGACATTATTCTCTGCAATCCTTCTACACGTATATCATGATGTGATGCATGCTTCTCAGGTGGTTTAAGGATCAAATCTAGTCTAATACGGGAGTTTCCGAAAATAGTGGACCCTAATATAGCACCCAAAATGGTAGGATCCTTATTACAAGGACCCCTAAATGAGGTACCCCTCATTTTCGGAAACTCCCGACATCAGGTGCCACTACCGTTCTGCAAACTTCAACCCCCAAGTTCCACTGTACAGCAAGCTACTATTTGCTTAAGAGACCCCCAAAAAATAAAAATAATAATCCCTATATTACCCCCATAAGGAATATATTTTTTATTTGTTGGTGGTTCTTAAGCAAATAGTAGCAAGGGCACTGTTTTTTTATTCCTAGGTTACTCTTGGGTCTAGAACATGATTTAATAAGCTATATTCCTTAATTAACGGATCTAAACCAACCCAGAAAGCCCAATACCCCTTGATTAAGGAGTATAGCTTAATTAGATCATAATATGAAGCCCCCAAATGATTTAAGGTATATTCCTTGGGGTATTGGGCTCTCTGGGTATAGACCTTCGGGGATGTGGAGAAGATGAAGTCGCGCAGCCACAGAGCCAGCTAGAACTTCAACGGAACACTATGCTGCTGCGTACTGTAAGCTATATTGCACGATGTGAGAGCGCTGGAGACCTCAAAGAAGATGGACAAGTGTCAAGGCATTGTCCAGCAACCTCCTTGGCCCCAAAGGGCCTTGAACCCTTGACAAATCCTGGCTCCAAACCAGAGCAACCTTACTTCATTCTTGCTCAGGCTGAAACCCGAACCTGCTGCCATTTTCACATCGTAGGTAGGGTAGTCAGATTGATGGGTTATTTACGGTCATTGAGGGTGTATTTTGACATGTAATATAGCGGAAACTACCTAACCAACCGAGCCACAAAGGCATCCAAGCACTACACCGGAACCCTACAATCCGAAAGGAAACCGAAACGCCCTCTCGAACACCTCAATTATTATGCAACCCTGCCAACCCAAAAGGAAGACCCCATGAAACAAAATAATTAGAAACTGCGAAATTCCAACAAATCGCAGGCTTAGCTGCCGCTGCCGCGAGTTTGGGTCTGCCCAGCTACAAAGGTGCCTTAGAAGCCCAATTAATTTCCGTCCCGCAATCAGTAAAATGATGTAGGATAGGATCTTGCGAGGTATGTTGCCGCATAGACAGAAGAGCGGAGCTATACGAGACATAACTCTAAGGGCTTAGGGTTATGAGGACAGGATTACGGTTCGCATCGCTTCCGTCAAGTAGCGCAGGGTTGGGAGATCTGGGATGAAAGCGTAAGGGATTGGGGTGTGATGTTATTACAGGGGCCTAAATAGTTAACATAGGGTGCGACTTGTGGGTCCAACTGCTAACGATATCCTCGGAGGGCCCTCCCTGAAAATCCTTCGGGAAATAATACCGGGGCCTTAGTAGTTACCAACAGGGCTCCTTTAAAGGATTCCTTAAAGGGATACTCGAAGGGTTCTATAAGGGTACCATTATACGGGGACCTTAATAATTACAAATACTGTTTTGGGTCGATTTTTTGGGCGGGGTTCAATTATAGTTATAGTATAATGGGTCCCAAAATCCTATTCAAATTATTAAGGCCCATGTATTAGTCAGTGATGGGTGGAATGCAACTTGGGGAGCAGGTTTTTTAGGGTTTCGATTCCGTCACGGTTTTCACGAGGTTCGATAGATTCGTAAGTTTATTCATGTGACCCCTTGTCTAGCCGTACGAAGCCCCTACGGGCCTAGGCAACGCTTCTCACATATCGTGGCAACCCAAGCCCGTTCAAGCAAACCTTCTGCCTGCACCCATAAAACAAACCCAGAAACCGAAAACCTTAAAGCACTCTGAGTGTCCCCGAAGGCATCGGTGTCTATGTCCAGCGCGAGTTCGTGGTTAAGCAAGTGCTGAAGCAAGCTTTGCATCGACGAGAAGCGAATCTCGGTCAGACTATGCTAAACCCCACGCTGGCAGATGCGACCACACACACAGCAAAACACAATATGTACATATACGTATATATATATATATATATATATATATACATATATATATATATATATATACATACCGCTTTCTTCAGAGATACCTCATGTAATTGTATGGTTCTGGGCCTAAGATTAAGTAGCTACTACTCCCCTGCTGTGTAACCTGACGCTGCTGATTTGGTGCTGTAGTGAAAGATGAACGGTTGCTTCCCATGGTGTTTAACTGTTCCGGGAAGTAAGAACAACGACTATAGCAACTACCTTACAGAAAAAACCTACCGTTTTAGGGACTTATACAAGAAATCATACTGGGGGGCCCTAAGAAGGTAGGTTCCTTAGGGTCCAGGTATCGTTTGGGCCGGTATACATGAGTGATCCAAGACCAGTCTAGGGACTGCTTTTTGCTTATTGAGGCTCCTGTGCTACTTGTAGTAACTTCCCGATAGACCCAACCCAGTAGTAGAGAAGATAACCTTTAGCCGTTTTGGGCTACTTTTTCCCTATACCATCCCAATACAACTAGGCTAGGGCCCTCCTTCAATGGTTTTGACTTTGAATCTGCCGAAGCCATTGTTCTGAATCCTCGATCTGAAAAATTGGTAGCGATGTCCACGGTAGCCCCCGAAATATGTCAAACGAGCAAATCCATTCTGTTCAGATGCAGGATCATGAGGCGGTGCAAGGGTGTGATCCAGGAGAGTGTGAAAGCAGGACTGTAGAATCTTGCCGCCGGGAAGTTGGAATGTGAACATGAAGTGAGTTTTCGGCCGGGCAACAATCGAATCATGGTTCAGCTGTGGCTGCAAAGCCTTCAACTCTGCATCCCAAATCCTTTCGCAGGACAGCTGGGCAGCTTGCCTTCGTGGGACCACAGTCGCTGGGGTCCCTTCTTCAAGAGCCTGAAGAGCTTGAGATCCCTCCCGGTGCCTTAGCTTGGTCGGTGAATGCGAGGAGCCGGAATGGACATCTTAAAGTGGACCTACCCTTGATTTCAATTTCTCTGCGACGTCTTTCATCCATTATGCTTGGCAGTGTTGCTTTGGATGAGGAAGGTTGCACTTCCCGTCATTATGATTGCTGCTACTGCTGCACGTCTTTCCATGTTCTAAAAGGTGCTAGAGCCCTGCATTGAGGTAAGTCTACATAGCACTGGGGGTGTTGACAGTTTCTTGCCAGCTGGCTCAATGCTTGCAGAATCAGGGGCTGTCCCGAAATTGTGGCTCTTTTCCCGGGAGTTACATACTTGGGTTCCTGCAGCAGAGCAGTCTCCCAAACCCGAAGGTTGCTGATGAAGTGTGCTTGACGAAAACAAGATTTACGTGTGTGCTTGGGTTCGGGTCTTTCTGATGCAGTAGGCCTTTTGGTGCTACAGTTAGGGCGTCCTATGACTGCATCGTCTGTCCCGAGGAGCAGGTGGCGTACATCAAGCATGTGCTGCAGAAGGAGGCCAGGTAATCAGCGGTTCCTCATATTCTTCAGTGTTCGTACGTAAGAGCAGTTTGTGTTATCGGAGACTCCAAGGACGTGTTTGAACAAGTAGTTTGGGTATGGTTCTAAATTCTAAGGGCGCTTTAGTTGTGGCTGTCAGTAGACCTCAGAGTGAGTCATTGTCTCAATCAGGCTTCATCGGCCAGCGCTTACCTCTGGGGTACATAGAGGTCCATAGAGTTGTTTGAGCGGAGTAGTGATGATGCCTGCAGCCTCCCAAAGCTTACCGGGTTTCGAATTTCCCAGAAGCCCGCCCAGTTGCGAAAGTGATGGCTGAATTTACTATTACGCATTGGGGCAGGAAGCTACTGCATGGGCAAGAAGGCTTCGAGCAGAGGACGCCTTGAAGGGTTGAGGCCGTGAGGTGGTCCCAGTAATCCGGATACCGAAGCCCAGGTTGCCGACACTGCAGGCTTGATATGTGTCTTGCTGGCTCCTTTAAACCCTAAGCCCTTAGCTCAAAATCCCGACAAGTTGTAAAGCTTATAAGAAAACAAACCTTGGTCATGGAAAGCCCGAAAACTCAAGAGACCAAACTCTACTTCCTAAACCCTAAAGTACACAGATCAAAAGAAACCCTAAACCAGCAGACAGAGTGTCATCTGTCTCCTCAGGTCCGTGGCATTCGCGGTACAGGCGATCTCGAGGCTGGAAAGCCAGTCCACCGCTTTTTAGCGCCTGAGGGTTGACAGTAGAAGCCCCGAAACGTGGGAAACCCCATAGCCTCAGTCCTTAAGAGTAATGTATAGGGAATCCCAGCACTGTTTGGCCTTAATCCGGTTTCGGGCTCGCTGTAGGTTATCCTAGGCAGAAGTAGGGAGACCCTTTAAACGGGACGCTTCTTAACCCCACTTCTTGCTCTCTTAAAAAGGGACCCTATTGAGAGGATCTATATCCATAAGGGTTCCCCTGATCCCACTGTAACTCCTTTGTTGGGTTTAGCGCTTATGGGCTTATGGGTCTATTTACAGGCTATCTGGTTGAACGCCTACACAAAAGTCTTGGAAGGCTGGATAGAGAATTCTTAGCAATGCTGTTTTGCAGCTTCCAGTTCTATTGCAACAGCCATACTCCCAATACCGTGTTCTGACGAGCCACACGCCTGATCAGACCTCTGATTATTGGACTAAGGATTCGAGTTTGAATCCGAAAAAGGCCTTAAAGGAACAGGGTCTTTGGGTGTATAAACGGTCAAAGCAAAAACCCGACACTGTTCTTTCGGTTTTCTTTTCGTGGATATACCAGAATATGCACCAAAATCTATTAAGAGGAATTAAGGCCCGCACGGTATTCATGGAGAGCTTAAGAAGTTGTGGTTGTTGAGGGTGTGTTGATAAAGGCTTTACGGTGTTCAGGGTTTGGGGTTTTTGAGAGGTCAAAGCTGCAGCGCTTCGGGAGTTTAACGTTTGGATTGAGCTGGCAAGGGCTTATACATGGGAGCGTCTAGAGAGCTCAGGTTCTCGCATTTAGGGTTGTTGAAGGTTTCCGAGCATCACCGAGTCTGTACAGTCCTGTAATTGTTGGGAACAGCCCAGCCAGCAAAATGGTGTCCGTCATGGCCCCAAATCTGGTACATGCACATTGAGCTGAAACCAGTTCGGTCGTGCCTGTTGGATGTCGTTGAGCTTCATGGGGTAGCCGCCGCGAAACCATGGAAGAGAGCAGCAGCTGGATGCAGTCCTCCAGAGACCATGTGCCACAATGCCACTTACTTAGTACAACATCCCCAAGCCGCTGAAGTTTGCAGCTCCACCTGCTAGTTGCGAATTGTCCGAGACCCTATACCCCCTAATCTGTTATATACTATGCACATCTCGAGGCAGCCGTGGAAAGCATCTTCACGCCGCTTCTGTTGCTTGCCATTTCGGCCGCACACGTGTCAAGCAAGGACCATCCTTGCGACACGCTATAGAGATCTTACGAGATTCTTACAAGGGTCTTAGAGGACCATCAGAATGGTCCTTTAGAGTCGTATGGGAGATTCCAAAAAACAGGGTAGCCCAAGATAGGCCCTCAAGTAGGACATATATTTTGAGGGACCCCATTCATCACCTTTGCGGCGTCCTCAACCTCTTCCTGGTCTTGGCCCTGAAATGCTCTTGTAAGCTTTCGTTCACAGCTTGGGCTCTTGTTGCTAAGTCTTCTTCGCATCTAAGATGCACACTTACATTTAATGCTCTTACTTAGGAAGCCCGTGGTAATGTTTTGCGATGCCACGCTGCCACCGGTCCCGGTGTACAGCCGGGAAAGCAAAAAGGGGCCTGCCCGCAGGTGCAAGAGTCAGCCGATGCAAGAACCCTGAGAAGCCCCGTGTCTTCAGGTTGGTTTAGGTTCGTTAAAAACGTACTGCAAAAGCCTCAGCAGACGTTAAACATCATCGTCGGCGTGGTGTCTGCCTGTGCGAGGACAAGAGCGGCGACCAGCTGGAGGCCGTTGTGAACACCGCACCCCGGACATGGCTAGGCCCTTCATCCTACAGACACTAAGCCCAGGTCATAGACACATCCCATCTAGTTGTAGTTATCACACAGATGCTCCTACCTTACAGGCAAGCTTCAGGTAAGTCTAAAGCAACGAGTTCATAATTTCGGCTGATATACTTGTACAATGATATCCCGAAAAGATCCTATTCTAGTTAATACAGCAGTCTCCAATATTCTGTTATTTGTCACATAAGGCCCCTATATTCTTTTAACTCTTATCTCGGCGACACTTTCAGAACCCAGAGAGCCCAATACTCCTTAATTAAGGAATATACCTGAAGTCACAAGGGGCTTCATATTGTGATTTAGGCTATATTCCTTAATCGAGGGGTATTGGGCGCTCTGGGAACCTTCAAAAGCTGCCTCACGGTGCCCTGGCCTGGAGGCGCCTCTTCACCAATACTTGAGCTTAGCCGGGGGGGGGGGGGGGGGGCAAAACTACAACCCAGTTATGTGCGGTCCTATAGTTTAGTAGGAATCAGAAAGTTTGACCTTTCATTTCTGTGGCTCATCGGGGTAGTAAGTATAGCCCCAAACCTGAAACAAAGCCAGTAGAATGTCGGGTTTCGGTCAAGCCGAAGATTGCAATGGCTAGGCAAGCTCAGCTGAGACCCCAACTGAGCCAGATCTCATAACTTCTGGGGGTCTAGAGTGTACAGAGTTTAGGATTTAGGGATTAGCGTTTTGTAGCGTTTGGGTTCTTTTGGAGTTTAGGGTACAGGGAATCTAGGCTGTCGCGTTCTATATAGGTCTAGGGACCATGAGTTCTTGCATTTGGGGATCATGTTCTGAAGAGCACCAGGCTCTGAGGTCAAGCATGCCTCGGCGGGAGAGCAGCAGCACCGACACCCGAAGCTCCAGAGTTTAGGGTTGAAGGTTCAGGGTGTTCTAAACCCCCCCCCCCCCCTGAACACCAAATTCTGGTTCCCTGGATCCAAGACACTTAAGCCCTAAAAGCTTCAAGCCTCGCGCCCCCCCCACACCCCAAAGACTTCAACCTCGAGATCCAAAACCCTAAACCGTCAAGCCTCAAACTAAGTAGGTCTCAGGAGCCTCTGTAAATGTCTGCCAAACTAAAGAAGTAGTAGGCCTCAGGAGCCTCCGTAAATGTCTGCGATGCTGCAAAGGCAAGTCAGCTGAAGGAGTTGCTGCCACCGGGTAGCAACTTGGATGAGCCGGCCCAGGCCCGAGTCTGCAAAGTTCAGGTAACACGGAGGGTTTAGTAGGGTTTAGGGTTTAGGGTTTAGGGTTTAGTAGGTTTAGGGTTTAGGGTTTAGGGTTTAGTAGGTTTGTTTAGGGCTTAGGGTTTAGAGTTTAGATGAGAATACTTCCTTGTGAGCTGTACAACGACAGACATAATAGCACATAATCCGCTTTGTTTTCGTCCGCAGGAACTCTTATAGTCGGAGACTTCCGCTTGCGTTGGGCTTGGGTTTTGGGATGAGGGCTCTGGAAGTTTTCGAGTTTCGGGCATCATATGAGTGAATCTCTAGGACTTCCAGGTTAGGGGAGAAGATGAAATGTCAAAGGATTAGTCTTCGGTTGTTACGGCTGCATGTACTACAGGGCTATACTACTTTGGGGGTTCCTTATTTATATTTATTAAGGCCACTATATTAGTCTTCCGTTGTCATGGCTGCAAGTATTCAACCCCAGAGTAGGCCCGAGACCCAGAATCTACTACAGTGCGTCTCCATTTCATGGTTTAGGGTTCGCCTGTAAACCACCCCAGCGGCAGAAACCGTGAAGCCGTCCCGGAGAGTGCCAGGCGCTCCGGGCATTCCCATCCCGTGAGACATCGCTCGCCAAGGCGCGGGTGATGGATTTCAGAGACCTTGAGTATTGGGCGTCTTGAACTAGGGTAACGATATTTATCTACGGTTGCTTATAAATCAGCACATAAAGAAGTCAGGGTGTATGGGGTTAAAGTCCAATCTAATATCGCATGGGCCAACGTGGTTTTGTGCTAGAGTATGCAGAGCCTAGGGGAAGGAGAGTCAGCAACTACCCCAAGCAAGGCACGGAAAGGCATATGCATCTGCCGGTGTAACTCGTACGCCTTTCTGGGTACCTCAAACAGTCTTTCACAAGCAGGCGGCTTTGTCTAAGCCAAAACTCGATGCTAGTGTATGTGGTAGTGCTTATTCGGATACATCCAGAGACTGTAACCTTAAGACCCGTAGCGCAAACTGCACCCCCAAGTCACGTCAGGCCAGGTTGCGCCACTGAAAAGATCAGACTGCTGTGCACTTTTTGGCAAGTTAGAAGCGTTCCAGTCTTTCTTTGCTGTGGGCCCTATGGCAGGACAGAGGGTGTAGGTTTTAGGGTTTAAAGGGAACTCCAGAAAGTTGGAATATGGATTAATGGTAGGATACCCTATAATTTACCATAAAGGGTTTAGGATAATCATATTCCAACTTTCTGGCTTTTACCTTAGGGTTTAGAGGGAAAGGTCGGCAGTCGCTTTTGTTGACATCCGTGCCGTGCCCGACCAGATCGGCCCTGAAGGAATCGAGCAGCGCGCAGCGGGCCTCTAAAGTGTTCTAGGTTCAGGGTTTAGGGTTTATAAGGTTTAGGGTTTAGGGTTCAGGGTTTAGGGTTCAGGGTTTAGGGTTCGCGGTTTCATTAAGTTGCCAAATAAAGCCGACATATTATGATGTACTCTCGATCCCTACTGTGGCTCCTTAAATTAAATGCCTTAACCAGAACCCAGGGTTTCAAGCGTCAAGCTTGATGGGTATAGGGGGGCCTTAATAATTAGAATAGTTTTCCTTTATGGGTTCTCTAAAGCGTTCTACAGGGGATCTACAACGGTGTAGTATAGGGGTGAGACGCTTGTGCTTCTGGGCTCGTAGCATCTTCAGGCGCTGCTGGCGAGCGAGCGAGCTGTGGCGCGCATCTGCAGCTCAGCTCTTCTTCAGCTCAGCACTTCCAGGCAATCCCAAACCCCGAGCCTGAAGCCCTACTTGGGGGTTTAGTTATAAGTGGGGTTGGAAGTAGGATAACTATACCTAGAACTCATATTGGGGGACATTCAACCCTACTTATAACTGGCTATGAACCTCCAAGTATGGGTCCCAAACATTTAACCTCTAAACAGGGCAGCACGGCATGCTAAGTATGTGAGAGACCCAGTCAAGTAGCTGCAGTAGGAGCTTTCAGTCGAGGCAGCCTCAGCCAGGATTCGGTTTTAGGTTTAATGTTGACAGAACCCCAGCTTGACATTCTTAAGCCTGAAACGATGCAACAGATTCCCTCGCTGGGGCCTGACATAGCCGAAACTCGCGCGGCACTGCTTCAGTAGCGCGGTACCAGGGCTTAAACCACAAGTCCTAAAACCCTGAAGCCCTGAAATCCCAAAAGCTTAAAGTCCTAAACCAGAAGTTGGGGTGATTGTCCGAGTGTGAGCGCCGAATCCACAAGTTTCAATTCAGAGGTGAACTCAGACGGGCTCGCCCTGAAACTCCCAGGTGGACTCAGCCACCCATCTCAGCTGCCGCTGACACTGCCGGAGCTTCTCGAGCTGCGTCCGGAGCTCGCGGAGGCAGGAGGGCTTTAGGTTCAGAGCTCATTGGGTGTAGGTTAGGGGTTAGCGCTCAGGGCTTAGGGGCCTGTCCTTCACGCTTGTTGAACGGAAGACTACTTGGTTCTGCCTTGCCTGTGCAACTTTTTTTGGCTTGAATTTTAGTGTGGGAACTTGGAAGACTCCAGAGATCGAACTCAACTTCTCTGATGCATACCTTCAGGTTGCAGAAAGCAGAAACCGAGCTGGTTCAATTGGGCTGAGCGAAGCCTGAAAAGCAAGAACGTCCGGGTTCGGAAGACCACCTTAGGAGAAACCAAACAAGCACCCAAACGTATTTTTTCAGGTGGGCTATCCCTGCCTTACTGCTTTGCTTGCAAAGGGGGCTATGGGATATCCCAACCTTATGGGTTTTTGTTTGGTTGCTCTTTTGTGCCCGAATCTTGGCAAAGCTTGAGCAATCAAACATCTCTGATTGGGCCGGCTGGCTTGGAGGTTCATGGGTAGTCATAGGTGGGGTTATAAGGGTTTAGAGTTCCTCTAAGGGATCTTTGGGGTAGTTATGAGTAGGGTTATAAGCAGGGCGACTCCAATATGCACCTCGTTATGAATAGGGTTATAAGCAGGGCAACTCCAATATGCACCCATATTAGAGGAAATATGACCCCCCACTTATAGCTACCCATGAACCTCCAAGTGGTAAAGCTCAGGTTGGAGGGTTTGGGATTCTTGCAAAACACCCATGTCCGAGAGATAGTCTCAAAGACCAAGACCAAGCTGAGCCCCAAGCCCAAAAAGCCTAAACTCCGTATGTCCTTTGCTCCGCCAGTCTCCACATTGCACCCGTCACTCGTCACCTCGACCCAACCAAGCAGTGAGCCACCGTGCAAACATGGGCATCGGGTAACACTTAAAATTGGTGCACCCAAAGTGATGCGGTTCGTAGAATGACCCTGAGAGGGTGGATGGTGGGTGGGTGGCGGGCTTGGCTCCCCTGCAGATACAGACATCGATGTTTATGTCTGTACATGTATATATATATATATATATACACACACATAAATATCTGCATATATGTATATACATGTGTATATATATATATACATGTACATATATGTATATACATACAGATACACATGTGCATGTCATCGTCTAGCAGGCGCTGCCGAAACCGGAGGACTTTGGCCGTGGCGGCGGCGCATCGGCGGGGCTGTGCGGCATCTTCGGCTAGAGTCTAGGGCCTGGGTGAGGAGTACATGATTCTAGTCTAGGACCCAGAGTAGGCCCTTATTCCTTCTTCATTATTTTGTTAGGGTTTGGGCTCCCTTGTAACCCCCTTTAAACCGAAAAGGGCACCCTTTTATTCCTAGGTTACTCTTAGGTCTAATAATAGTCCTGCTATGCTAGCTTGGGAGGGCTGCGGCTCACATGGGCCAAGGGCTCCACTAGCTTTCAAGATGGGCCAGAAAGCAGAGGTTAGGTCGGTTTAGGGTTTAGCTTCCATGTATTCAGGCGATTGCACAAGTCCTGATGCAAAAAGGGTTTAGGGTTCCATTTACCACCATTTTCAATGCTTCTATCGTCATGCAGCGCACCGCGGTTGGAACTGGGCCGTTTTTGCTGCATTAGAGCCCAGCTTGTGAGAGACGGACAGCATGCATGACCGATCTTGTCGCTGCCACTGGAGCGCCGTCCACATCTACTTTTTCGAGAGCAAGTATGAATTGTGTATAGCAAACTTGCGGGGGTGCTTTGAAAATCCCTTCTAGGAGAGAGCCCAACGGAAACCTCATGGCTAGGCCAGGCGGCCAGGCTGCTGGGCTTTCTAAACCCCAAACCCGGACCCTCAATTTCTACACAGCTGAAAGCCCTAAGCTCCCCAAATCTATGCCACCACAAAAGCTGCATAAATCCCATATAGGCCCTCAAACGCTCGCTCGAACCCTTAAGCTCCCAAACCAGTACCACCACAACATCCATGCCAATCCCATACGTCTCAGACACAGTTTCCTCCCCAAGTCTAGCCACTACAAAAGCTGCACAAATCCGATAAGCCCTCAAACTCAGTTTCCTGAGCAAAGCCAAAGGCGAAAGTGAGCTCACTGTGGTACAGCATCTCATAGAGCAGCTGAACGTCTCGTTCCTTGGGAGCACCTTGAGGGTTTAGGGGTTAGGGATAGTTTATGGGTTAGGATTTACCTTTCGAGAAGTTTCGGGTTTGCAAGTGCACCTGGAATTAAGCAGTGCTTTTACAGGGATAGCTTATTCACATGCCATATATGCTCCCAATGTCGTGCTGTTACAACAGAGCGTTTTCCAATCGGGGCCAGTTTGATTTGAGGAAGGCTGGGGCCGAGGTTTATGTTCACATTACATTCAGGCTCCCGCCTCCTCCGAGGATGTGGGCCCCAGCCTTCGTGATAAGGGGCTGTGGTTCCCAGTAGCACCAGCCGAAGGCTATTCTGTCAACCCATTCAGACAAGATTCGACTTTGTCTCTGCAAGCACTGGAGGTTGCTGATCGCGATCTGGGCACTGGATTTTGCAAGTACTTGGCGAAGAAACATTCCGGACTCCACGCAATGCTTAAAAGGACTGACAACCTCAGAGCACAGCTTTCTGGAGGGAACCTGCGAAAACAACCTCCCCCAAACATTTGGTAGTGTACGAGCAGTTCGTAATGTGAGTAATCCTTCGGGATCCTTAGTATAGCTGTGCGACAACAGATCCCCAAACACAATTCCGATTATTGAGGCCCCTGTATTTCCCGTAATCAAGGCGAAGTGACCGTAGCGGCCCTAGGAAACACTGTGCGAACCCTAAACAGCCAAACTGCTAAACCATGAAATCTTACAGCCTGCCTGAACGCTAAACCTTGAAACGCTTACAGTAATTACCCTGGGGCTCCAAATAGCCCAAAGTAGGTCCCATTTATAGACTTTAGAGCCCCAAGTAGGTACTATGTGTATACTTGGAGCCCCAGGGTTAAGGCCTACACAACTCTTACGGTAACCTTTAAAGGAACCTCGCTGAGGCTCCTCTCTCTCGTGGAAAGCGACGTGGGGCTGGCAGACTTGCTGACGGCTTTGGGCCGGAGCGCGGTGGTGCGGTTAGGCTGTACCTTAAACTGCAGAAACTCATTTTTTGTAGCAATTAGCACCTACAAGAGCCGGTTAATAGGTAAGGTTTTGAATCTAGGGTTCTTGAAGGCTAGACTTGAGTGTGGTGGCAAAGACCGTCTCAGAATTTAGGTGCATTGAGGGTTTCCTTGGAGCTTTAGGGGTTAGCTTCAATCGTTTTATAACGGCTGAATACGGTTTAGGGCTTTAGGGCTTTACTCGGTTTGGCCTTCAGGTTGTCTTGGGACGAACCCCTACAATCTTAAGCCCTAAGCTGCGAGGAGTGAGGCCGCGATTTGTCAGCAGTGTGGCGTCGCCTGCTTCGCAGATCTGCAGCTGGAGGCGTAGCTTTGGGTCCTTGGAGAGGTCCAAGGGGTTTCGGGGGTTTAGGGCCCTTACAAAATGCGAGGGTCCAGGGCTACGAAGCAGTGTTTGGGGTTGGTAATATGGTGGTTCTAGAAGCAAAGCAATACGGGGGGGCGGGGGGGGGGGGGTGTAGAAGGGGCGCAGGTTCCATGAAGTTGTTGTTAAGCTTGGGTTTAGGTTGATCGATTAGGGCTTGAAGTGTAGGACCTTGGAATTAAAGAATGAGGGTGTGGTTTGTGAAGTGCAGTCTCAGGCTGCAAGGCCCTTAACCTCGCAAGTGCTGCCCAACCAAGCGGTTCTCTAGTCTTCTGTTGTAAGATTACATACGGACATGGCAATCCGGGTTTTGCTTACGCTACTTGCCGAACGAGCTCCGCCTTTGAGGCCTCTTTCGGGGAGCTCATGGCCCGTCATAGCGGGGAGCTCTCAAAGCGAATGGAGCGCTTCGTGCAAAAGGCGGGTTGGTGCTTTAAGGTTTACGGTTTTAGGGTGGGGCTTCAGCGTTTCATAAGGTTTAGGCTTAGGAGTGGATTTAATGGGTCCTGTAGGGTTAGGAGGGTCTCATCTGGGGTCTACTGGGGTTAAGGCTTTGAACTTAAAGAGCCCCTCTTGCGGTCTGGAGGGGTGGGTTTGGTTTTGAACGAATTGGTCCACCAGCAAAGTTTGCAGGCACAAACATCACGGCTTTTCAGCGCAAGTTTACCTATATTGGCCGGAGTACTGGGGTCGTCTACCAAGCCGGATATGCATGGCAGGCCGGCAGTGGAAAGCTGCATGCAGACTCTGGGCTCTTCTTGAGCAACTTAAACCCTAAACCCGAATCCCATCCCCCTAACATGACGGGGCGGGGGCCCCAAGTAGCAACTCGAAAAGTGTTTGTGTTAAGAGGTGATGCTTGCATCTCTAACAGTAACTTTTCCCGGATCTTGCTCCCGCCCTGGCTCTTGCGCCTTACTGGCTTTTACTCCTGCTCCTGCTCTTACTCCTGATCTTGTTGTTGCTCCTTCTCTTGCTCCTGAAGAAGCTGGGGTGATTTCACGGGGGGGGGGGGGTGTTCCGAAACGTGTCTTGATATTTAGGGCTAATCAGGGTGTCTTTGGTAACAGGGGGAAGGGGTTCAACCCGGGCTTACGGTTCAGGGCTTCTAGGGTTTAGGTGTTTAGGGTTTTGGTGACACTTAGGATACATCGTGAATATGATGCTTTGTGGCCATACTAAGCATATGACATTGTAAGTAAGTAGGGAAGATGCACTCCCGGAGTCTCGGACTCCCTGTGATGATAAGTTACATGTGAGAAGTTGTCAGTATTTTGGTACAATTTGGGGTCCTTTCTGTAATACGGCACCAATTATTTTCGGGTACCCGATAAGGGACTCTAGTTTTGACAACTACCCATGTATGAATCCTAAACCCTTTGTACATCCTATATACTCGCTATGCAGCCCGAAAAATGATAGCATCCACCTTGACTAAGCTCCACAACAAGAACTCTAAACCCGATAAAGCCATCGAAGGAAGAGAAGGAAGCTGTGAAAGGCCTTCGCAGGAACCCGACACTTCCAAAAAGCCTGGAAAGTACGATGTCGATCTCTTTAATTGGCGCTTGTTGAGCTCCTTACCAAGAAGCATTAACCCGCTAAAGCCCTGATATTGATACACCCCACCCTTGTATAGGAACTCTTATACGACATCGTCTGGCAATATTATGGCCAACCGTATATTGTACCTTTTAGCAGCCTTCTATGAAAGCACTGAAAGAAAGAGCTTAGGACTTGAGCCAAATCTGCTCCGAGCTTCGAGCAGCGCAGCTGCCGGCACCCGAAGCTCTGTTGCTCGGCGGCGCTGGGTTGGGCTCCCTCTGTACTAACATAATGGCAACAGTAATAACAATACATAATGATAACAATGTTAACACTCATAATTAATCATCATCATCATCATCATCATCATCATATAGAAGCCTAAATAATTAGGTACCAGTATTGTTCCTTGTTCTAAGTCTACTATAAAGGAACCCCAAAACTCTATTGTAGTTATTAAGGCTTAGTGAGTTGAGGAATTTGAAGCCGGATGTTGGCAGGATTTCCAAGCGCCCGACTGGGTTTTACATGGGGAGCAATTAGAACCTGGTTTGTGTGGGTTTACGTGCAGGGTGTTGATCCTTACCTCGGGATTTTATGTGGTAAAAGACAGGCCCCAGTAATTTGAAGAGGGTTTCGGCCTTTCTTATTGTAGAACTCATGTGACAGGGATTTTGGGATGTCAATACGAAGTGCCATCCCTGGCCTCGGAGTCCAAATAAACCCGAGGCTAGGACATAAACGCCCATCAGCCCTGCTATTGGCTCGTCCCTAGACCCTTAAAGTGCCTCCACAAATACGTTCACCTCTGCTATGTAGGTCACCTTCTCTCTTTGCGGGTGTTCAAGGCTTTAAGCAGGGGAATCTAGAGAGAAACACCTTTATGTACTCCTTTAGCGGACCCTTGAAAGAACCCTTCTTCTAATTATGACTTATAAGTCCCATAATAATGCACTGTAGGGGTTATAAGTGTAGATACCCTACCCATGATCCTCCAAGCAAGTTCGATTTATGGACTTTACGCCCCCCAAAGTACGTACTGTCTGCAGGCTTGGAGTTTTCGGGAAACACTGAAGGACACTAAGAGATCCGGATGATGATATAGATTCTGCATTAAATTAGGGACCCGAACCTATGGGAATTATGGTATATTCCTTATTATGGGTAATGCAGGATAGCAAGAGATCCGTCAGGGTTCTGAAGACTTCCCCACTCTGAGGCAGGCCATCCAGGACCACTTCGGACCAGCAGTGACTGCCAAGGACGCCCCGACACCCAAACCTTCAGAGTTTAGAGCTCAGGGCTTTGATAGACCGTTGAGGGTTGAGATTTTCAGTAGAATCTGCTTCCTTAGGGTTGGCACGTGCCCGCCATTCCTAAAGTTAACTACAGCAAGTTAACTAGGATCGTCTTTGCGCAGGTTCCTGCGGATTCTTGGAACGTGATTTATCCATGAACGCAGGCTAAATCTTGAGGGTTCTGGGTGCATGGCTTGCTGCCGACATGGTCGTCCGAGCCAGGACACAAACATTGATGAGGCAGTGCATGACAAAGCAGGTGGCTACGAGTCCTTACCCTGCGCCCAAAACCCTGTTGCAAGGTAATGCGGGCTCGTCATTGCTAAGTCGGAAGGCAACACCCTAAACCTTAAACCCCAATGGATTTGAAGTGACAACACTGAGCTAGCAAAGCCGAGCTCTTGTGCGCACACCGGGCCTGTACACAATGTAGCATGAAAGCCCGTCCAACAGTTTGAGTCGTGAATCTCTCTACAGACCTCGCCTGGTATTGCCGAGTGTGAGCGTCCTCCCTTAAAGCACCCGGCAAGAATCCTGCTGAAGGAAGTGCGGGTCGCCTTCGACCAAGCAGCTCCTGTGAGCCCTCTGGAAGATGTGGTGACAGCAGCGTCTCGCGCAGAACATATGGAAGTTTTCGGGCTTTTATGTGGGTCTGAATCAGGAGCGATAGTAGACCATAGCCCCAGGCCCTTTTACAACCATAGTTTGGGGTGAAAGCTTGGCAGTTTTTGTCGATGCCTCGTTCGGGGTCGTCGTGGCCTGGACTTCTGGGTCACAGAAAAGTTTATCTTCAACCCCGGTTCTACTCTAAGCCCTCTATATAGCCCCCAAACCACCAAAACCCCCCAAAACCCCAAGCCTCCGAGCAGGACTTTAAGCCCCATGCCGTGTGAGCCGACCGCAGACCTAGGCAAGACTAGTCATGGTTTGGGTTCTGGGAAAGAGAACTGCCCTCGGAACTGCCCTGTGTAGAAACATCAGGCCGTTTCAAGAGGACCCTACCCTAAAGCCCAAAGCCAAAAAAGGCCGCAAACCCAAAGGAGGGAAAAAACCCGTAACTGCCCAAAACCCTACATCTCGGGTCGGGGACCCCTTCAGCCTAAGCCCTCAACCTGAATGAATGCAGGTGGAGTCCGCGCATGCCCTCGCGGCTCAGACAAGTGGCCTCTGGCGTCAGAAGAGGGCCGCTACGCGAGTCATGGGGAAGGAGGACGCTCATCATACAGGGTTCTCAAGAGAAGTAGAATAGGGTCCTGGCGGACGAAATATTATTGAGAAGGACCTTAACGACTACTGAGTACTGGTCTTGCGTCGGGGTTTAGGGTTTAGGGTGTCTTGCTGGCATGAAGTCCAGGCACGAAGGGGTTGCGTGTTTAGGGGTTTAGGGCTTAGGGCAGGGACAGTATCTCATTAGAAGGGTTCAATGTAATTTGACAGCATTTACTTTTGGGCAGGTGGGGGGGAGGGGTAATCCCATAATCCTCTCAGGGCCCTGGGCACCCTAAGGAATATTTCTACTTGTGCTGTATTTAACGCTGCTCCTAAATGGTAGACCCCAGTTTTGTTGACAAGCCTTTCAAAACAAATCAGGCCATCTTCATTACGCCTCTTTCTTAGTAGACAGACGCCCGCATTTAGGGGTTTTTCGAAGTTTAAACATATCCCCGTACAGTCCCCCGTGTATGCTTGCTATGTTAATCTACCCCCAAAGCTCATTTCAATTGTCAGTTCCCTATACTCGAGCTCTACATAGAGGCCCTTTGCTTAAACCCGATTCGATGTCCACTTGGAGGTTCATGGGTAGTTATAAGTGGGGTTATAAGTCCCCTAATATGGGTTATGACTAAAGTTACCCTACTTGTAACCCTACTTATAACTACCCTAAACCCTTAAACAACAACTGTAACCCTATAGATCCCTTTAAAGGAACCCTACTTATAACTACCCGTGAACCTCCAAGAAGGAGATGGTGCAGCATGTTGCGGAAAACCTCTCCGGAGCACCGGTGCCTGGGATCCTAAGTCGGTCCGCGGTTCCTTTGCGGCTTCGTTTAAAATTGTCCGTAAGGTCTCTTTTTCCTAGTAGAAGAGTAGGCAACCTTTAGCCTTTTTTGGGTAGTATAGTCCCTATATAATCCCTATATAACCAAAAAGGTTAACCTTTAGTTCCCCATGATACCCGACAAGTAGGTTTTACGGATTCTACGAGGGTTCTTCAATGCATCCCTAAATGAGCGACTTTGATCTCAACGGGCCCCTGCATGGTCCGTACGCTTACCCTTGGTTAGTAGGGAATGGAGGAATGGGGTACAATTGTAACTACTATTACTGCCATTCTTCCATTCCCTACTAACCGAAGTTAAGTACTAGGGTCGGTTCGCAGGGGCTTCATCTGAGTCGGTTCAGGCTGGCGGTGCAACCCCTACTTGGAGGTTCATGGGTAGTTATAAGTAGGGTTACAAGTAGGGTAACTATACTTATAACCCATATTAGTGTACTTATAACCCCACTTATAACTAGCCATGAACCTCCAAGTAGAGCCCAATTACCTAGAAGCAGCTTACTGGGCTTCAGTTGTCGGTAGCACAAAGCCTGCATAGGGTTCAAGGCGCAATAGCCCACCAGAGAGGTCATTGGGCTCGCGAGTAGGCTTTATGGTTGAGTTTTTGCTGGTAAGGCTTGGGCTCAGAATACTCTATTTAGGTAGCTCAGGGTTTAAGAGTTTAGAAAATCCATTTATAACCATTGCCGTAGTTATGTGAAAATGTAGCATCTGGTCACTGCGAACGCTATTGAATCTAAAAGCTTAAGCTTCTTTCCCCAGAATTGGGAAACTCAGCAACTACCCTAGAGGTCGGAATCATGAGCGACGACACCCCCTTATCGATCGTGCTTAGCATACCACCAGCATCCTACTCTATCTAGAGGCTCCATAGCAGTTGGATTACCTCATAAGATTCAAAATACGAACCCCCAAAAAAGGAACTACTATGGTGCCTCTAGGTAGATGTCATGGCCCCTTCACTCAGGTGCTGATGAACCTGCGCGACGTCTTGCCAGACTGGGCGGGCAACTTCCAACCGGCCGCGGTGCGTGCAAAGTCGGGCTAGACTTTATAGTCCCACATAAATACAGCATAAGACTTAAGATACGCCAAAATCCTGTTCAAATCTTTAAGGCCCCTGTGTTGTTCCTTGGACTTGGAGCCTTCAACCCTGAATCCGAGACACCAGACGGCCCTAAAAGCTTTGGGAAGTTCGCTCTAGTTCATTGCACGTGGGCCCGAGGTGTTGGGCGACTTCTCCAGCTTCCTGTTCCCCGGCTGCAGGAATCCAGTGTTGCAAGATGTTGCGGCATGCTTAAGCTGCCCTAAACCCTATAAACCTTTCGTACATGTATGTATATAAGCAAAGGTATGTAAGCAGACATCGACATTCCGGCTTGCGGCTGTTGACGCTTCACACTGTGAGGTGCAGACGGGCTTGGTGTGTCTCATGTCAAGAGGCTTCGTCCCCCGGAGAGCACACCAAGCGGTAGACCCATCTCGAACAGGTGACGTACCGGAAAAAGGGAGTTGCAGATAACCAGGGACGATTGACCCCAAGATAGACCCTTAAGAAAGTAGGATCCCCTTTGTTTGTGCCCCCGCTCAAAAGAAAAGAAGTAGTATCCCTGACTTTGAAGTCATTCCCATGCAGTCATTCTACAAGCCGGAAATTTTGGTTGCTTTCCGGTTCAGGTTTGGTTTTTGGACCGCCAGTCATCAGCTACTCTTGACAAGATGTCCTGCCTCGGCCCTCCATTGCAGTTGCTTGTGAACTACGATGGAAGGTGTAGGGACAGTTTGCCCTCAACCGCGAGCCTTCTGCAACTGAGCCTTCCTTCGTCATGTGGGCGTTTCCGAAACTTAGGGGTACCTCATTTTGGGGTCCTTGTAATGAGGATCCTACTATTCAGGGTTCTTTTTTAACGGTCCCCTATTTTCGGAAACTCCCATGTGCTTGAGGCACTCCAGCAGCTTCCGAGATGCCTGGGGACAGCACGCTTGTGGGAGTTTGATCGTCGAACTTCGTTGGGAAGAGTTTGTCCGCCTGCCTTCATGCAGCTTGACGTGGCCCATGCAGGGTTCACTTCAGGGGCCGAAACCCGAAATAACTACTAGTACTATCCTTAGGTCGTTGTTTTACTTGCTTGTACTCTGAAGGAGCCCAAAACCCTATTCTAAGTAATTGTTATGGCCTCAACATTGACCTATTCGTAGGTTACTGAGCCACATAGCACACCAGCAGTAGCTGAGATTTTTTCTGTGGTTCCGGAACCCTAAACCCTGACTTAGTTTTTCTGTGGTTCCGATTTTCATAAGATTTGTCATGGCATGCGGCTTCAAAGTTCGGATTTCGGACTTTTGCGGACAGTCAGGGGTGCAGAGATTGGAAGGCATTCTGAGATATCCCAGCCTTATGGTGTTGTGAAGGTGCTTTTGTGGGCCGCTTTGGGCTGAAACGGCGGTGTTGGTCCTTCTGTCATGGGAGTACGTGCATGATGCGCGGCCGGAACAATAAAAGCTGAATAAAGAGGGTCTAGATCCTGGAATTGCAGTACCTTTGTCGATGAGAGCTTGTATCCGGGTTATAGGGTCCTAGAGTTTTATTATAACTGGAAATAGAACAATTGAAAAACGGCATCCTCATCCAGGGTCGAGGTGCTGACGAGAACATAGAAGCCGAACTAAGCAATAGATACCATTTTCCAGGGCTCCCTATGAAGATTCTAGTATAGAGAAAGTGCCCTACCCCACATTCTAATTGCTGCTAAACCCCCCGTTCAAAACAACGTTAAAGCCCCTTTCGGAACCGATACAACGCCCGATTGAAGCCCCGTGCAGAATCCAGGCAGTGTCAACGACTTCTTTGCCTGCGTCGAAGCACGTGATGCCCTCGGCGCAGCCGGCGCCGCCCTGAGGAGGTTGGTCCAGATCGCGAGGGGAAAGCGCAAGCACATCAGTCAGAAACGATGCCTTCTGCGATTTTTATGTGGCTAATCAGGGTCGTCTATGTTCACAGAGAGGTCCACACACGTTTCATGAGGGAATAAGGGCACCCAATTATTGACGGTTGAGCTCGCATGTATTGTGGAAGCCTGAATTATCACCATCCTTGGGCTTTCTTCTCGGGGTTACAACATACTAGACCCCCAAAGGTTTTGTTGAAATTATTTCGGTCCTGAGTATGAAATCCCAAATCCGTAAACCCCCAAACCCCTACCTAGTAGAAGCCGAAAAGTTGGAAACCCAAAAGCTTCAATCCTTAAGAGCGATGTATAGGGAATCTCAGCACTATTTGGCCTTAGTCCGGTTTCCAACTTTCTGGGGTTTACTGTAACCCTACTTTGTCACCACCCACCGAGACAAATCCGAGCATAGCTCGTCCGAGATGCGAGCGTGGTTTACTTGCAGGTTCGTGGGTAGTTATGAATAGGGGCCATAAGGGATTAGGGTTTAGGGTAGTTATACGTAGGACTACTAGTAAACTACCCATACTTATAACCTATATCAAAGGACTTGTATGCCCACTCTTGACTACCCATGCCATAAACCTCCAAGTAGGATTTAGCAGTGTAGGGTTGTGCCTGCCTCACAGATGGCTCCGGGATGGTCCGACCTTTCCAGCAGCCTGTCAGCACTCAGCCGAGATGCTGGCCCAGGGCTACGTGTTTAGGGTTCGCATGATCCATCTCGCATCTGCTTTTTGGTCATATGCTCTGAAGGGTAGGTCTCACGAGGCAAAGCTTTAGTGTCAGCGACTGTCAAGCGCGACGGCTGATGGGTTTTCTTGTAAGCCATATTCAGGGCAAGACTTTGTGATTGGACACGATCCCATAGCTGCATTTTGTAGACTTGTGAATTTGGGTTAGGCCATGAGTGTTCACCGTCAGTGCTATGCACTCCGACACTGGCCGTGCGTAGTAGTCCTTGCAGCCTCGAATCTATGGCACTTCAATCCTGAAGCTCAAAGTAAGATAGAGGTCTTGACATCCGTTTATTCCGATGCCGGCCTTGAACCATGCCAAAGCCGCACGGATTGAACCACAAGCCATGTGACCCTCAAGACCTAAAAGGTAGTCTTGACCTGTGAGAGCAAGAGGCAAACCAAGGTAGCAGCAGCAACTCCTGCTACTTCTACTGCAGCTGCTAGTGCTAGTGTTGTGACGGCACAGATGCTACTGCTAGTGACTGCCAGTGTTCTTGCGTGTTCTTGCTACTCCTTCTCCCACTCCCGCGCCTGCTCCAGCGAGTCACCACCACCACCACCACCACCATCACGACGACTGCTGCTGCTATCGCTCCTTCCCCCACTACCTTCATGGGCGCCTGTCGCTAGCAGTAACCTGAGCTACACTTCTTTCGGAAGGGTTTCGGCTGTAGGTTTTAGAAAGTACTGCTGCGGAAAGAGTGTAATATAGAGGCTATAGTAACCTGTGCTATTTCGGGGGTTCTTTTCCTGATTATAATGGACCCCGAAGCCCTATTCTAGTTCTTCCAGCCCTTGTATTAATGTTTGTCACAATCGGATATGGGGAGCCTTAGCAGTGGCAGCCAAGGCTGACCAGTTTGCCAGCGCCGCAGAGGATGGCTTCAGGTGCCTCTGAAAGGGATACTAGGTAGGGCTTTGGGACATTTTATATTTTCCCTTGTTGGGCTTAAGAGGATCTTATTTACTTTTTTTTCAAAGGCTCTAAAAGCCCCACCTAGGATACATCGACTCCCTAGCTGCACGGAAGCGAGAATGAAAGATGCAGCAAAAAAACATAGAGGAGTCAAAGTATACACCAACTACTTGAGTTTGAGCTTTCACACAAAACCCTGAACCCCTACCGTCGAAGCCTCCAGCCTCGTCTGCAGGATCGGACTACCAGTAAGGAGGAGAGTAGGGAAGTCTGCTTGTCGAGGTCATGACCCCACGGGACCTGCACTGAAGCATGAACCGGTATTCATGTTTTGCGAGCATTCGACATTCGGCCTTGGCAGTTCTGTTTCCCTTCTGCCGGGGCTTCAACTTCGGCAGTACACTGCCGTGGAATTTGCGTAATATCACGTGGCCCCCAGCGGCCATCCCAGAATACTGAAATGCCATGTAGTATCTCGATCGGAACTAGCTGTGTGCGACCCACCAGCGCTCACAAGTTTGAGCCTTCCTCCACCCTTCCTGTGAACACGCAGGCAGATGACTGCCACCGGCATGCGGGAGACCTTTGTACTTGAAGCCCTGGCAGCGCTGCCTACGGAGTGACGTGGGCCAGTTTGCAGCCGCTGAAAAAACTTCATGCTAAACCGTCCATTGCGGTTCGAATTTGGGCTAGCATTGTTTTGGCTTGGGGTAGTTGATCAAGCCAACAAGGTAACCTCACAGGCACTAGAACTGATCGGACATACGTTGCATCAGTTTCCAATCTCAGTGCTCTGTAGAGTTCCCGAGCTGCAGTTTCGGTGCCGTGTTTTGCATGTTAAGGAATTCCAGAGGCAATGTGGAGGTTTATGGGCTTCACCTAACTGCTGAACACGAACGGCCACATTTAGCAGTACGTAATGTTTTACCCTGGCAGTCCCTGGATAAGTGTACTAATCCACCTACAATGCCCCAATACCCGTGTTTGCCATGCCCGAAGCAACGCATTGGCCATGGAATGAGCTATAGGCGAAGAGGCCAAATTCGCTTCTGCCTCACCTTAGAAGCCGAATTACCTACACGGGGAGGTTATACTGGGCGAGGTTGAGTGTCCTGGGTTTGGAGTACCATACTTGAATACTTCCTTCGGGTACCTGTCCCTTAAAACAACCATTATGAAATTACAGTCTATACTTTTTCTCCCTGGTTACTTCAAAGTCCAGGTGTAGTACTTTCCAAGGGTTACATAGGTCAGATCGCCGCCTTAAAAGCAATCCTGTTTGTTTGTCTGCTTGTGAAAAGCCGTGCTGGAGGTCGAGGTAGAGGGTTTCGGAACTGGAGATTTTGTAGAGATGCCAAAGCCCAAAAAGCAAGCACAGATGCTTTTTTCAACCTAGAAGCAAATAAGCGAAAACATTAGCTAATATTCGTACTCTGGTTATACATGGACGGTAAGCTGGCCCTACGGGCGCAGTTACCTACATAGCGGGTTTCTGTTTCCTTTCAAACCCCCAAAAAGTATTCATACACAGGTACCTATCAACCCATATGAATGAAAGCTTCGTCAGGGAAGGGAGCCCATTTTACACAACCATAAAGATTAAGACACTTCTTCATTAACTACAACTTGGAGGTTCATGGGTAGTTATAAGTGGGTTTTAAGTCCCCTAACATGGGTTATAACTTTAATTAGTTACCTTACTTATAACCCTACTTCTAACTACCCATGACAACCTCCAAGAAGGACCCGTTTCTTCAGCTCAGTGGTTACACTGAGGGCATGAGAAGCGAAACAGAGCTCTGTTCCCAAGCGGCCGAAGGCTAATTACTATTGCGGCTGTTATGCTTAGAATAGGGCTTGGGGGGCCACTATACTACGATTATACTAAGGAACCCCGAAAATAATATAGGTAATTATATCGGCTAATCGCGTTTTATAGTTTCGGCCCCGGCTAAAGGACCAAAACCCTCAACCCAGAACGCCTCCATCTCCAAAAACACTGCCTCGTGGCAGGTTTCGTGAAGTCATCGTCCCAGCTCTCGTGAAGCCCTACTTGCACATGGGCTTGCCCCGGAGCAACATGATGCTTGGACTAAGACTTAAGAAGCTTTCCCAGCAAGAATTAAGGCTTGGCTGTTGGATTTGCGCTTTAAGACTTTAATGCTCGTGGCTCTTGCAATGCGCCAAGAAACACCGTTCTAATTATTACGTAAGGCCCCTATATTAGATAGCTGTGTTCTGCCCTGTCATTCTTTGAGCTACAGAGACTCCACGGCCCTTGGCCCGACCCTAAACCCCAAAAACCTAAACCCTGAAGCCAAGGTCTTTAAGCCCTCGAGTCTAAGAGGTTGAATATCCCGACAAAAGTATGAGTTCGTAGCCGCAACGAATGAGGCATGCATGCCAGAAATCAAGCCCACTAGGATTGCTTGTGCCCTATACAGGTTTATGATGTATGGCTTTAGGGTTGAGGGGTGGGTTTAGGTTTAATGTTTATAGGATTTCGGGATCAGGGTTTCCTCAAACCTGATCTTCATAGTATGTTTCCGCAAGGATCACTGTGGCTCGGCAAAGCGCCGAACGGACTGCCGTCCTCAGGCACGGGATTGCCTGACAGGTTTGCCTTAATTGATGTAAGCTTTCTTTCTCGAGTGGAACCGATTATCGAAGTCTGCATTATGCTCTGCTCAGGCGTGGATTACCAGCAATGTCAACAGGTTTATGCGTGTTCCATTATTCAACCTACACCTACGCTGCTATCATACCTGCTTCAAGCTTGTTCATGGAACCCCGTGATTATGACAGTCGTCGCCCACATATGGCCACCTGGGCGCTGTGATGCCTGCTTGCTTTCGCAGAGCCTATGCTGCTGCCTATAGAGCTAGGACCCAGAGTAGGCCCTTATTCCTTGTTTTCAGGGTTTAGGCACCCTTATAACCCCCTTCAACATCAAAACGGGCACCCTTTTTATTCCTAGGTTACTCTTAGGTCTAGAGAGTCTGCGCCCCCTGAACCCAAACCGCAAAGCCCAATCGACAAAGAAAGGTGGCTGGCGAAGTTTACGGGCATCACAGAATGGTTTCTGGACTGGGAAGCCAGATATCCAGTGCACACCCCAGGCGACTTCGCAGAAGCATCCGGAGGACAAATGGGAGTTTGCGAAAACTAGGAGTACCTTATCTAGGGGTCCTTATACTAAGGATCCCATTATTTAGGGTATTATTTTAGGGTCCCTTATTATCGGACATCCCCAAATCTGGCTGTAGTTCCTTCAAGTCTTTCAACATGCGCCGAGCCCTCCACAGTGATGACATGAAGATGGCGCTTTTCTCCCGAGCTGCATTCATAAACCTGAATGCGAAACAAGTGAACCAAAGCTCAGACCTCAGCTGGACGATTTTGGTTTGTTTCCATTTTTCGGGGTCGGAATATCAGATATAAATTATAACATCCCCGCCATATGTATATATATATATATACATATAGTCCCTACATCATACTCCAAGCAGATGCATCACAAACCCTATTCCCATCGTAAGGGCCTCACAAAGTTTAATGAAACCTTCAGCAAAGGTTCCCACTTGTTCGATGAGATGCCCAGATACCCAAAAATCTTTCAACGATGCGGAAGCATGAATCACGCAACGACCCAAGAAGCCAGACCAGCCAAATCACCTGACGGTAAGCCTCATCTGATCCTAAGTTCGAGCGGAAATTACCTTGATACCGTACTACCTGTCGTTTGTAAAGATCCTAGTATGAAGGCTAGAATACAGGGGAAAAGGGTGGGCGTGATGAATCAGGGGTTTCCACTATCCCTTACAGACCTACAACAGCCCTATTGAAACCCACTTATACACCTACAAGCTATACAACCTGACAGGAACATTGATGCCATAATCCTATCACTCCGTGATATACTTCCCAAAGGCAAAAGGTACTCATACCGCAGCAAAAGAGGAATCGACGTGAACGATTTTGTGGGGGTTTAAGGTGTAGGAGTCCTACTGTAGGTAGTTTTTCTGGCTTTTCAACTAATTAAAACTCAAACATACCATCTTCCAACTTCGTTTTCGATATCCCCAGACACCCCCAATCCCAAGACCCTAACGCTGGTCCCTTCAGATGAACCTGGTGAGTCTAGTGATTTCAGAGTCCCTAAACTCCTACCCTAAACCACATATTCCAAAAACCTAGCAACCCTAAACCCCAAACCTGCCCAGCGCGAGTGCGCGAGTCGAAACCCCAAGCCGCAGCTGTCATTTCCGAGTCCGCAAACCCTAAACCCCTAACTAAACCCTATAAATCCTAACCCCAAACTGCAGCTGATTTTTGACTGGTATCCCAAAACCCTAATTACAAACCCTAACCCCAAACGGTTTCTGACTGGTAAGGCGAAGAAACGGTGGTTCGAGATCGTGCGCCTGCCGAAGCGCCGCATGTGCGGCAGAAACGGGAGCAAGCAGCTCCTTGCTGTCGTCTTTTGGTTTAGGGATTAGGTTCCTGGCATATGCGTAGTCCAGGTGTAAAAGGGTCTTGGGGGTGTTGTGCTTTTATGAAGGCTTACGGGGTTCTGAGTTTTGGGTTTGGGGTTTTGAAGTTTTTTTTGTCAGTGGGTTTGGGATTCAGGGTTTTGGGTTAAGGGAGTCCGGGTGCTCGGACGTTCAGGCGATTGCACAAGTCCTGTTGCACTGGTAAAAGCTTGGTAGGGATGTTGAATGGCTTCATATATAGGATTGTTGTGTTGGGGTTTACAAATGCTCAAGCTGTCCTAATGCTTTTGTGGAGTCTCATCAAAGTTTGAAATAGTAAGGCCAACCATAGCAGCTGATTAAAGGTTTTAGGTTATACGCCGTAAGCGCAGTCACTCCTAAAGAGGCTCTGAGGGTCGATTGGAGTTGTCGATCCTTCCGGGTGCTTGGGGTGCTAGGGTTTACGGTGTGGATATTTGGTTGGCGGTCGTTTGGAGCTTTGCAGTTTTCGGGCCCCGTGTGGTTGATCATTAGAGTATAGGGTTTAGTAATAGTAGTAGTAGTAGTAGTAGTAGTAGTAGTAGTAGTAGTAGTAGCAGCAGTACGTCTACATGCGCTGGAGTTTGGCTAAACGTTGCTGCAGAATTGTCAGCTCCATGCGACGTCTATGAATCAGATGCACTTGTGCTCAGGAAGTGAGCGATGCCGATAGCAGCGCCTTGCCTTTGACTTGCCCTGAGTACAAACCCTTAATTTAATCCACAAGTTGAACCTTTGTCTCTTGACCACTGGAGGTGATGGAGGCATAATCTCCGAGGGAACCGACAACGATGAGGAGAGCTCCGATGCCGTACGCAACGAGGAATGGGCCAATCGCAGCTTCACTGGAACGGTGTGCCGAGTGAGTGTGCATCTTCGTGTCCTCGTGTCGTGACGAAAGTATGCCTTGCCAGGGCTTAATTCAGCTCTGTCAAAAGTACCGCAGGTCTAAACCCAGAATGCAAACTGCGAACCAAGAGTGTCCTTCTTGCTTTCTGCAAGAGCCGCCCGAACAATGATTAGCACAAAGGCTGCCACTCAATTAGGCCATATTGTGCTGGTAGCAGTTCTGACCATGTTACGAATCGGATTCTCGTTGTACTGTCGGGACACCAGGGGTGCTTGGTATTTATCCCGTACCTCACCGAGGTGAACCCAAGTTCTGTGTTCAATCCCTATGATCCCCGTGGGTTCGCGATACAGTGGGATTCCTTTGCCTGGCTGGCCAAAGCCATCGTGAGAGTCTTAGGGCTCTCTGGGCTTAGTTCATGGCTTTGCAGCAGGCTTGTTAGTAGGACATTGAAGTATGTGGCTGCTCACCGGCTCTAGAAACGTAGTGGCTGCCGTAACAGCATTGCGAGTAAGGACAGCTCTGCAAGAAAATCGCCAGGAGCCTGGGCCCAGAGTCAGCGGGCATCGGTTTGTGAGCTTTTGGTTCAGGGCTCCAGGGTCTAAATTTTCGACGAGTTTGTCAAATACGGTCGAAAATGACAGAGTTATCGCGTTTTGACATGAAGGTTGCCGGCTTTTGGCATGCCCGGTCTGGACACTCCTGCAGGCTATCGTTTTCAAAGGTTCGGCTGCCTCATGTGCTTCCGGAGTTTGCTTTCATCTCTAAGTGCTTAGAGCCTTACTGTACAATCTACAAGAGTGGGTGAGACTGGGACTTCGCAGTTTTCGGACGTTCGACGTTGCAAGACTGCTACACACATGGGAGACGCGGAGCTGAAATAGCCGTAGATCGTGCCAGTCTGGGTTTTCCAGGACTTTTGTAGGTAAAGGGATTTATAGGATTTGGTGAGGGTTGTAGGGTTAGTTAGTTCCCCCCCCCCGGTGCCCCCCGCCCCCGCACCCCTCGTTCTTTCAGACTTTCAGGGCTCTCACATCTGAATACTTGGATCCCGATTACACTCTGTCGCGAGGATCCGGTGAGGTGATGGGGCGTACAGGGGATATCGAGTAGCAAAAGCTATAACTGTTTCATTGCCTGAGTCTTCTTCTGTAGAGTTTGTAGAGTCATGCTTAATCCCTCTTCCTTGAGGCTTCTAGGGTTTCTACTCTGTGCATTTTTACGTCACAAGGTTAGCCGGTTTGGGCCAGGGAGCCCAGCAGCTAACTTGGTCTGGGGTGTGCTTATTTGCTTTTCGTTGGGGGCGGGGCTCTTAGGCAATGCTGTCGGCTGCCTCTTGGGTGGAGAATTGTGTTGTTCCCGCTTGAGCCTGTGTCGGAGCTGGGCGTGATGTCTAAGAATAGCGTCGGCACAATTACACAATCAACAGGTTCCGTCCTGCAAACTGCTACCGCCAAAGATCATGTCTGTCATCATGGTGGGGCCATGCTTCAAACATTGAGTGCCAAACCTTCCCTTCGAAACACAGCAGAGAAGAAAGCATCAAGCCCTAGGCCCTATAGACCAAGGAACAAGGGCGTGAACTTGCAGCACGTGGATACACTTACCAGGACGGATGTGAAGGGTTCTGAGAAACTCAAGACGTAAAGATGGTTCCAGGATGATAGGAGGCTTTAGGGTTTCGGGGGTTGGATTGCAGAGTGTTTCAGGTCCCTCGTCTTAAGCTGCGAAGCTGAAACCTTCGGTTGAGCTTGGAATGTTGGGGGAGCTTGCCTGCATGGGGTTCAGGCGCTCGCCCCAATCTCACAGACCTCAAGCTGCGTAGGATTGTCTCAAGCAGATAGTTCTATATTTTTTCTGTCTATATATGTATATGCCAAGTCCAGTCTGCCCTGTCATGGAATCTTGCGCATCAGCTCTCCCATCGCTTGGCAGATCAGGGCTTCACAGTTGTGTCCTGAGGCATCTGCTGAAAGCAGGGAATACTTGGAGGTTCATGGGTAGTTATAGGTGGGGTTATAAGTCCCCTAAAATGGGTTATAACTATATAGTTACCTTACTTATGACCCGACATAACTACCCATGAACCTCCAAGTACTGCGGGCTCCTGGGTAGATGGTTGTGCCAATGAAATGAGATTGCAAGCCGGATACTTCGGTCAGGACCCTATACGCTAGTGAGTCATCGCCGAACCTTTTTTCTAGCAAAATGCCCAATTTGCCTGCATGCCCTTTGAGGGGTCCCCAGGCTTGAGCTACCCTCATTCGCCACGGTTCGGTTAGGCTTTAAGTCATTGCCCCTTTGCACCGAACCAGAACCACAAGGTTTAGATCCACAGGGCTTTTTCGACAGAGTTGGCTTTTAAAGACGTTTACAGACTTTTAAAAACTTTCAAATGCAAGAAAAAACATTCTAAAAACTTTTAGAAGACTTTAAAAGACTTTTAGAAACTTTTAGAAGACTTTTGCAAACTTTAAAAGACTTTTCAAAACTTTAAAAGGCTTTTAAAATATTTAAAAGACTTTTAAAAACAGCTTTAAAATACTTTAAAAGACTTTTAAATTAAAATACATTTAAAAGCTTTAAAAAGACTTTAAAAGACTTTTAAACGCTTTTAAAAGCTTTTACAAACTTTAAAAAGAATTTGAAAGACTTTTAAAGACTTTAAACAACTTTTAAAATTTTTTAAAAACTTTAAAACACAAAAAAAACTACATTTTTTAAGGTTTTTTCCGAGAAGACGAGGATGAAGAAGACCTGGCACAGGGTTTACAGTTTCAGGGTCTTTAGGGTTTGGGGTTAGAAGGCAGAGTGCCATAGTATTAGGGGTTTGAGGGTAATGAAAGGGTTAGGGTTAGAGTTTCAGGGTCTTTATTATATTTAGGGTTTGGGGTTAGAAGGCAGAGTGCCATAGTATTAGGGGTTTGAGGGTAATGAAAGGGTTAGGGTTAGAGTTTCAGGGTCTTTATTATATTTAGGGTTTGGGGTTAGAAGGCAGAGTGCCATAGTATTAGGGGTTTGAGGGTAATGAAAGGGTTAGGGTTAGAGTTTCAGGGTCTTTAGTATTTAGGGTTTGGGGTTAGAAGGCAGAGTGCCATAGTATTAGGGGTTTGAGGGTAATGAAAGGGTTAGGGTTAGAGTTTCAGGGTCTTTAGTATATTTAGGGTTTGGGGTTAGAAGGCAGAGTGCCATAGTATTAGGGGTTTGAGGGTAATGAAAGGGTTAGGGTTAGAGTTTCAGGGTCTTTAGTATTTAGGGTTTGGGGTTAGCAGGCAGAGTGCCATAGTGTTAGGGTTTGAGGGTAATGAAAGGGTTAGGGTTAGAGTTTCAGGGTCTTTAGTATATTTAGGGTTTGGGGTTAGAAGGCAGAGTGCCATAGTATTAGGGGTTTGAGGGTAATGAAAGGGTTAGGGTTAGAGTTTCAGGGTCTTTAGTATATTTAGGGTTTGGGGTTAGGAGGCAGAGTGCCATAGTGTTAGGGTTTGAGGGTAATGAAAGGGTTAGGGTTAGAGTTTCAGGGTCTTTAGTATTTAGGGTTTGGGGCTAGAAGGCAGAGTGCCATAGTTTTAGGGTTTGATAGTATTAGGGATGCACAAATCGCGTGAAGTGGCTACGAACTGCTGGATGTTGCGCTTTTCTGCGTTGACCACACTGTCAAGCGAATCACGTGCAGGCGAAGCAGGGTACAGCTGGGTGACGCGACAACGTCTGGCACTCTGCCTTCCCAGCTGCTGGCACTCTGCCTTCCCGCCTCAAGATCCATTAATTATTGCCACCCCAACTTTGCACTCAGCTGGTCGGTCAAAGGTATTGCTCCAGCATCAAGGTCAGGAAGTTCCCCCGGACCACCGAGACGGATGGCAACAAGTGAGAGGTGTTTCATCTGAAGGACAAACTGCCGTTGTTGTTCATCTTCGTCGTTCCAAACATAAACAAAATCACAAACGAGAGAAACGCGCGGCAACTCCAGCGGTTCTTCTCCTTCACCCACCTGATAACACTTCGGGAAGGGGCCTTGGTACCGTCGAAGAAGCCTGAGGCCTCCTGTAATGCGGGAGCCAATACGTGGCCAGTAACGCAGGTAGCGAACCATGATTTCCCAAGGCACGTCGTCATAAACTTCATTCCATCTCTCAGCTGGTTTCCACTGGTCAGGCGCTTTGGCCAATTTTTCGCAAGCGGTTTTGATCAAGATTGGGGAGAGCTCGCCTCTGAAGAAACACTCTCCTCGTTCGATCGGGGCGAAATGCATTGCTCTGGACGGCTACTGTTCAGTCACAAGCACGCACGGCTTCAAACCACATGTGCTAGTTTGTGCGGCTTCCGGGTTGTGGCACTCGAAATGATTGTCCATGTGCTTGCACGTGACAAATTCCACATGTGTGAAAATGCGAACATGCTTTCGCAATCCGTCTTCCCCAAGCAGAAACACACAGTCTCTCGGACGCATTCCAATCTAGCAGGACCCGCTGCCATCAATGCAAGCACACAGACAGACACACAACTTTTCTTTGCAGCGCAGGATGAATCCTCTAGTTGTTGCCAGGCCTCCTGGTCGGGCCACAACAGGGCCTATGGTCAATGACGTGTTGTCTGGCCTGCGCTTCTGTCATCTTGGAAGCCACACGTCCCCAGTGATAGGGTACGAGGTGGCTCCACTCGCCTTCAATGCCAGACACACATGGGTTCATGTAATGTGACACAACACACAGCAGATCAGGCAACCACATCGAAGCTATAACAAATGTTCCGAATCTTTCCAAGAGACCGCCGTCTGTCACACGAACTCGGAGAAACCATTTTGCTTTGTCAGGGCCACCAGGATTCGGGTCGTACTTCATCTCACCAGCGATCTTGGGACACTCCGGGCATTGAACAGGTGTCCATACCCCTTGGTAGTCAACACGGTTCGGCCGCCGCTGATGTTGGGGGCCACGGACTGCAACCTCCCGTGGCTCGAGTGCTGGGATAGGCACTGCAGGCACCTCCGGCATCTCAGCAGGAGGGGCTGGCACTCTGCCTTCCTCGGGCTCCACGTGATCATC